GAGAATCTCCTCTTATGATTTATAAGGTTTCTTCTTTGTTTCCATCGATATCTAACAATCTCTTTTAAGATAATGTTATCACATGTGATTCCTTACCAGTTACAAGTGGACCAGCCCATCTAACCCAACCAGAAACTGAGTATTCTTCTGCACCTTAATATTTATCAAATTCAAATTAAATTGGATCCTCAGCTATTGTAATTGCAGATCCAAATAATTATAAAGTCTATCTAGTAACTGGATGAATTTATGCCTTTTCAGGTAATGAATTTTATGTAAACATCCTTAAAGTTTCTTTATTTGGTACAAATGCTCCAGGACCAAAACTAAAAGTAACTCTAGCTAATTCACCATTAAATAATGGAGCTGAAGTTTTGCCTACTATGAATTCTACATACTCTACTAAGAAATCATGATAAACAGTGAATGCAACCTCTTCTATTTCACCATCTACTCCAAATTGAATATATCCTTTGGCAACTCCATTATCACCCTATCTCTTATATCCAAAATACACATAATTCCATTAACCTTCTAAATTAGAGAATGGGATATCATCCTTAAGATTAAGAGTCTAAAATTCATAAGATTCTTAAGTTAAAACACAAGCCAATGTCGTATCTTTTACAGTTTAAGGTCTACCTCCATTAGCTCTAACCCATTTGCCATCCACTGATTCAATTATATATCCTTAAGTACCAACTCTGGCAATATTATGAACTGGGGATCTTTTATTTAAATATTTTGGTAATGTTGTCAACCATCTTGTCCATAGACCAAATGCATATTCACTTTAACCATTAATCTTCATTCCATTCTCATCATGAATAATGATCTTATCTACAACATTATCAACTTGATCAAATTCTACATATCTACTCTAATCAACACCCAAATAAGTCACTGGTTTGCCTACCTAATATACTCCCATTACTCCTTCTCCATAATTAAATGTTGTCTAAAAATCAAGACCTTCTCTATAAGCACCTTCACCCAAATAAATTCCTACAAAAGCTATTTTCCCGTTGAAAGGTGAGACTGTCTCATCTCCTCCTACTGTAACACTCAAATGATTAACTTGCTTATGATAAACTCCTTCAAATTTAACTTCTCCAATTACTTAAGGCTTTATTAAGGCACCATAAGCTCTTCCTTCCTTATATCCAAAATACACATAAGTCCAAATATATTCAGCACTTTCAACACTCTTTAAAATATTTACAGACCCTTTGGCTCTGTTTCCATATACAGTATAAGTATTGAAATATACATTACTCTTAATGCCTCCACCATATATATGATGAACTTCCAAAGCTCTATCTCCTAAGACTCCTTTACCTTAAGCACGCACTTTATTTGATCTCAAATTTATTAGTTAAAATGCATTAGGTTCATCTACTTTGAGATCATCCACCCATCTGAACCAAAATGCTACTGCATATTCTTCAATTAATAATTATGATTCTTAAGGATCAAAATGATAATGTTCTCCTTTTTCATTACCACTAATTAAAATTGGCTTGCTGATAATTGTTTCTTCTATCAAAATAGGAAGTTATTAGGGCATATTACTCAAAGTTTTAATGATTTCTTCCAAAGATTCATCTCCATCTATAAATGCAGGAGCATCAACATCATAAAAGATATTTGCAAATTATCCATTTAATCCTAAATAATCCATATGCTTTCCTCCAAAAATGAATTTAACATAAGTAGGTGGAACATGCTAAGCTTCAATTTCTATTCTATATTTAGGTGCACCTTCTCCATATTTTACTATATATCCCACTACTTTTTTTTATTAAGAACTGTAAGAGTATGCCACAAAATACCATATACTATCCATATTCTCATTCAATACAACATTAGTATCTTTTGTTTTACTTTATGTTGTAATATCATATGTTGAAAATACAAATGAATTATCATATAGAAATAGTGCTAATGTTCTATCCCCATAAAAAGAGAAATCTTCATATTCTTCATTTGTTGTCATTCTTGATAAGAAATAATATTTTCCTTCTTCTCTAGCATGCTATTTGGTTGAATGTTCACTGAATCTTACCCAAAATCCATATCCATATTCAGATGCATCTTGTAATAATGTTCTATCCTCAAATTCAAACACTTAAGTAGGTTCACCATCAAATTCTGAATGGAAATATTTAGTGTTAACTGCAATAGCTTTCTTTTCTTGAACTCTACCACTACTTGCTCTATGCTTAGGGGGTTAAAATTGTGTAGGTTCATTGGCATTAAATTCATCTTTAACTGATGTTAATTTGATAGATCTATCATGCTCATTTTGATCATCATGCTTTTCTTCATTAACAACATCATTAAGTAAATTTTCTACAGCTAAATAATTAGCACCTTTCTTTTAAGATTCAATAATTTCCTCTCCAACAATTTCTTCAACATAATTTTTATTACCATAACAAATTGCAGGTAATGGTTGCTTTTTTGCCATCTTTTTCTCTTACCTAGCTTCTTTTCTAGTTTTTTAGCCTGGTTTACGACGTGGTCCTGTTCGTTTAACTTTTTTCAAAACCTTCTTTGATTTCTTCCTAAACTAAGGGACACATACTTCACCATCTTCTTCTCCATTTTCTTTTTTATCATCAACTGGAATATCTATTTTTTTATCTTCTTATTTTTCTTCAACAACACTTTTCTTTTCTGATACAACTTTTTATTTCTTCTTTGTAACATCCTACTTATTAACTTTAGTTTTCTTAGTTTCTTTCTATTCTGTCTTTTTCTTCTTACTAATTACTTCAGAATTTTTTTATTCATTTTTTTTTGTTTTTGTTTTCTCTTCCTTCTTTGTTTTTTCTTTTCTTTTTGGTTTTACTTTTTTTTTGTCAATAACTTTTTCATCATTTTTCTCCTCTTAGGTAGTTTCTTCTAGAGTTTCTTCTGTAATTTCAATTGTAGCCTCTTCCTCTGTTATTTTTTCATCATCTGGAACTGGTTCATCTTATATTATTTCTTCAGTAATAGTTTCTTCAGTTATTGTTTCTTCAGTAATATTTTCTTCTTCTGTAACTTTTTCATCGTCAGGCACTGGTTCATCTTCTATTATTTCCTCTGTTATATTTTCATCATCTTTGTTTTCTTCTTCTGTAATTTTTTCATCTTCTTTACTTTCTTCCTCTGATACATTTTCATCTTCTTTACTCTCTTCATCTGTAATCTTTTCATCTTCTTTACTCTCTTCCTCTGTTAACTTTTCATCATCTTTACTTTCTTCCTCTGTAATCTTTTCATCATCTGGTATTGGGTCATCTTAAATTAATTCTTCTGATTTATTTTCTTCCTCAGTTATTTTTTCATCATCTGGGATTGGATCATCTTAGATTATTTCCTCTGTAGTATCTTCCTTAACAACTTCCTCTTCTGTTACTTTATCATCATCTGGAACTGGATCATCTGTAACCTATTTAGGTTGTTCTTCTGTTTCTTCCATTCCATCTACATATTCTGGCTCTGGTTAATTTACTGTATCACCATAATATTCACATTCTTCTCCAACTCCACTTCTAATATATTCAATAGGTCCATAGGTGGAATGAGCATCAACAACTTTACTTGTATCCTTTTAAGCCCCATATATTTCTCTTGTTTTTATAACAGAACTCTTTGTCACTTTAGGATTTTAGCCATATTTATAAACTTAAGGTTCTGAATCATCTACTGGGAATTCAGCTTCCATTTCATCTTCATAAACATATATATAATCATAAACTTCATCTGTTACTTATTCTTCAAAATAATAAACAACATCATCATCATCACTTTCTATTATAACTTCTCTTGGTTATTATTTTTTAAGTTCTTATTCACAAACTTGTTTCAAAGCTTTTAGTTATGCAATCTTTTATTTCAAATGTGTAGTTAATCTCACATTTCTACATGAATCTACATATCCATAGATTTATCTCTCTGCATTTCTTAAGTAATTAATAATCTAATTAGCTAATGCAACTCGCTCTTCTTTTGATCTTTAAGCATTAAGACGCTATACATAATCATAAGCATCTTCAATTCTACATGAAGTCCACTCATTTTATAGAAATGCTTTAAAAGATGGACGATTTCTTTCATAATCACGAATTACTGTAGTAGCCTACTTTGCACTCTCAATAATCTTTATCATTTTTGCTAACACTTCCAGATCATTTAACAATTATTCTCGATGTTCAATAATATCAACCCATCTTGTTAGTGCATCAATTGTTCCATCAAAGTTCATGTAACAATTGAATCGACTAATTTCTAAGTCTCTTGCTTCGTAATAAGTCATGCCTACCCTAACTACACAGACTTCTGCAAAACTTAAGGTAGCAAACAATAGCAATAACAATTTTTTCATGAAAAAATAAATATGTAAAACCGTTTTTTATTATTATCATACATTAGATAGAATACTATCATAGCCCCAATTCTTATCAAAATTATTTTATTGTACATCTCATCCTCATCCAATTTAAAAACAAAATTCAATGACTTATACTATCCAATCTAACTCTACATGTAATAAATTCAATTTTAAAAAACTACATGGAACTATTGAAGTTTTACTTTATTTTTTTAATAAATTTTTAATCATTTTATATATATCTTGTTTATAATAATAATAAATATTAATAACACTATTATATAAATATATTGTAGTTATATCAATGAATTTAAGTTTAATATTTATAATTATATCTACAATTATATATATATCTATAGGATTAAATGAAAAATCATAAGGGTTAAATTTAAATGATAAATTGACAAATTGTTTATATTATATACTAAAAGTATATTATTTTATAATTCTTGGCTAACATTATTATTCTAATATTATCATAAAATTAACCAAGTATTAATAATTTAAAAAATTCATAATTTTAAAACATCTTTTAATTAGTAATGCAACAACAATATTTTATATACTTATGGAAATAATAATTAATCAAATAATTATAAAGCTTATTATGATTATAGAATCAAATTAATAATATATATTATAAATCAAAGTTTTACTTCTATGATAAAAAGGAATACCAATTAGGCAATTTAAATTTGTATTTACTTAAGTCTTCAACCTAGAATTAATATAATTTAATACCTAAAATTTTTATGGCAAAATTTCATTATCTTATTAAATTTAAATATATTAAGTATATAATTTTTTTAATGCATCAATTGATTTTTAAATTGGGATTCGATCAGATATTTATGCATTCATTTTATCTAATACTTTATTTTGATATTTTAAAATATATTTCCATAAATTTGCTTTTTATTCATGAAGAACTATTTGAGATTATTAATATTTTAAAATCTATCCCTATTTTTCTAAAAAATCTAATTTGAATTCATTTTTTTTTTTAATGATATTCTGTTATTAAAATTCCTTTTCAATATCTCTGATATCTTTATTTAGTTTAATACCCATTTATTTAAGTTTTATTATTTCTCTTTAACACATTTCATCCTCCCAAATCCATATTATTCTTTAATTCAATAAAAATGCCTTCCATTTTTTACTAAAAAATAAATAAATTTATACATTTATTTGAAATTTATTTCATCAAAATATTTCACAAATTCAGGAAGTGGATATTATGGATATCCTTCAATTTTGAAAGATAATTGCTATTACTATAAAAATTTCTCAATTTCTTAACCTTAACCTAAATCTATTTTATCATCATTAAAATAATCATTTAATTCATTGATATTTTGTAAAATGTAATAAATTAATTGTGATTTATATTGTTTTTAATTATGATTTGATATTAATTTATAAAGATTTCTTTGTAGTATATCTAATTCTTTTGAAGTCTCTTTATCTTCTAATCTATATTATTTTAAATTATTATTTAATTACTCAAGGTCAGAATTGAGTATTTTAATTTGATCTAATGAAATTTCTAATGAATATTAATCTGTTGCCATCTATAAATCTTCTAATTATTATTCAATTTTTTATTTTTGAATTTTTAAAGTTTTTATATTCTCTGAAATTTCATTAATAAATTTCTACTTTTTAATTGTCTCTTAAAAAATTTCTAGTATTAATTAATGTTGACGATTATTTGAATGAAGATTTTTTTGCTTTTCAATTTTTTCAATATATAATTCTACTAAATTACTTTTCATAATTTAGTATTTATTTAATAAATCTTTTTTGAATAAATCAAAATTATTAGTTAATCTATCATTTAATTATTATTTGAAGAATAAAAATTATTTTAAATTATCTATTTATATTTATTTAACTTCTTTGTCTTTATAATCAAGATTTAAATAAGAAGCAAATTTAAATTCACTATTTTATATATTTTTTAATTCTTCCTAAAATTATTATTCTCTAAAATTCCTTCTATCAATTAATTGATTCTTAAATATTTGTTTTATATGATGTTCAATCTATTTCTTTTTATTTTATTATTATATGATTTAAGAACTTAATTAACATTTTTTAGATTCTTTCTTTAAATTATATTCTTTAGTTAAAATAGCTTTTTCTTTATTAAGTTTAACAATGTTTTGTTAATCTAATAATTAAATATTCTTTTCTATAGATTCAATCACTTATATTCTATATTAATTTAATTTATTTTATAAATGTTACATTTTTTCTGAGATTTCAATTTAATTATTTTTATTTAAATCACAATTCTTTTTTTAGAATATCTTTTTCATATTAATTAAGTGATTTTAATAAAGCTTTTATTTCAATAAATTTAATTTACTTTGATTTGATTTCTATATTTATTTCTTATAATTTTCTAAATCATCCTCCAATTATTTAGCCATCAACATTTTTTCCCTTTCTAAATATATAATAAATTCCTCATCTAATTATTATTAAATTATCTATTTTTTCTTTTCAATTATATTATTTATTGTATCACTTTATTTTTTATATTCATTTGTCTACTCAAATTTTTCAGCTTCAATTAACTTATTTAAAACTATTTCATTTTCATTTAATTTTATTTATGATTGCTCTTTTAAATATTATACTTCTTTCTATTTTTCTTATTGATATTCCAGAATACTAGCTTAATATTCTTGATCTATATGATCCATCTACTCTTTTATTGTTTCTATCTAAAAATACATAGTTAATTAGTTATACTTTTTAATTTTTTGATTCTGCTTTTTATTATACATCTTCATTTTTATCTATAAAATCACTATCATAATTATTTGCAATTTCTTCTTCAATTTACCAAATATCATTGCTAGTAATTTATTTCTTCAATAATAAATTATTATTATTTATCTCATCTTTTTGTTACTCAGAAGATTAGTAATAAATGAGATCATTAGATTAGTCAAATAAAGGATTGATTAATTTATTTTAATTTTAAGATATTTGCAATCCATTTTCACATTTTTATTGATAATTCTAATCATTATAGTTTTAGTGTATTTTAAATGCATCTTCACCAAAAAATTAGAATAATTCTTATTCTGCTGTTATGATATAATCTTAACTACTTACTTCTAAATAGATATCAAAATAAACTTTTATTTAAGTGGTCATTAATGCAATTATTTTAGAAATTGAGTCTTTCATCTTCATAATTAATTTGATTAAACATTTTAATGAAAAAATTATTAATAATATATTTATTATAGATTTATAATTGAACATATATTGTTAAAAGAATGAAAATATATATTAAAGCTATTATCATTCTTATAATTTAATATTGATACTTTCAATTTATCTCATTTTTATTTTTAAATATTAATAGTTAAACTATTATATCAAGTATAAATTTACTAGATAGAAATAAAATGATCATCTAATTATATATTGATTTATATTATAAAGCAGTATAATGTTAATTAATATATACTTATTTCTAATAAATATAAATTTAATTAATATTATTATTGATCATTATATTTAATAATCATTCTTCTTTATTTTATTCTGTATTCTTTCAAGATAATGTAGATTTTCATAAAAATAACGATTAGCTCTAGAAACTAATGGGAATGTTCCTATTTAATTTTCTACAGTTTCAATTTTATACAATAGAGAATTAGTTTGTTACATCAATTATCTCTATTTTTATTCTTCAGGTTATTCTGTGATCACTTATTTAGTATAGTGTTACAATTACAACTGTTTATTTATTATAATATCTTATTGTTTATTCTTTAGTGAAATTTATAAATTTTTTTGGTAATATAGTAATTTTCTAATAAAATCTAAATCAACTTCAATTTTATTAGCATTATTGTACCAACCAGTCTTATCCTTTCCAAAATCATTCTCCAACTTCTATTTAGCTAATTTATAATCTTTTTATCTAATTTAACTATTAAACATAGTTGGTTATGCTTCTTAAGAATAGAAGTCTTTCATATGCTCTTAATATTCATAGGGTAAATCTCCAGCTCCAAATATTCTATAATAGACATCATAACAATCAATGTGGGTGTATTGATAATTATTTGCAAAATTCTCATCAATTACATAGCCTTCAGTATTAGGGAGAATTCTCTTAGGTTTGTAGAGGAGATAAAATAATTTATAATCAATACCAGTAATTTTACATAAGGCAGAGGCCATAAGTTTAGTTGAATTATAAATTCTAGAGGCAATCTCTAGATCAGATAAGAAGGATTAAACAATTTATTCTACAGAACTAAATTAACTTGTTTATATTTTTTGGGCTGCCAAATATAAATCAATAATTTCTTATATGGTAATTGATTTCAATACTTTAATAGAGTAGACAGCAAAAGAACTGAATATAAGTTTATGTATGTATAAGTTTTATTCAGCTTTAATTGATTTGAGATGGTTCTGTTTTAATTAATTTAAAGAAACAAATGTATCTCCTTGTTTTTCATCTAATTTCTCAAAAATGTTATTCAATTGTTTTTTTTATAATTGAGTTTATTTAACATATTCCAAATAATCAAGTATTTAGAGATCTTATTAAGCTTATGTAATCATTTTGATTTTCTTTATATTTGCTCTCTTTTTTTTTGATATTGTAGGTAATGATTCATCTCTATCAAATGAAGCAATTGTATTTGGAATGACACGTTGAGTTGTAGTTAAATGAGTTGATTATTTAGTAGTGATTTATTCGAGAGAATGCTTAGGAGATCCAAAAGTGAAGAGAGGTTTGTATTCGTTTCTATGTGTGTATTCTTATACTTAAAGTGGTTATCCTGAATCTTTCATTTTTTAAATCATTCTATATTGTGAGATAAAATCCACCTTAGAATTCTCATCAAGTAGATTTTTGTAAAAGAACTTCTTCTTTGAAGAAAAATAAGGTGCTGTTATTAAATTGTCTGTCATTTATATAAATATGAAATAATTTTTTAGATATAGATTTTCCACAGTTTTGGGAGTAGTAGGTGCTGGATAAATGGGAACAGGTATTGCCATAGTTGGAAGTGCAGTAGCTGGATTAAATGTAAGAGTAGTAGATGTTAATGAATAAAGGTAATTAATAATTGTAGATATATATTTTAGATTGAAGGCAAGTCATACTTTTATATCAAAATGGTGTGATAAAGAAATTTAAAAGAATAGAATGACTGATCAAATTAAAACAGATGTATTATAAAGATTCAGTTTTCATCTCTAAATATCTGATTTATCATGTTGTGATTTCGTTGTTGAAGCAGCCCCTGAGAAATATGAAATGAAAGCAGAGATTTTTAAATAATTAGTCAAAGCTACTAAACCAGAAACTATATTGGCTAGCAATACATCATCAATTTCTATAACTAAATTAGCTGGAATTACAGATAAACCTGATCGTATAATTGGAATGCATTTCATGAATCCAGTTCCAGTAATGAAATTAATTGAAGTAATTTAAGGACTTTAAACATCTCAATAAACATTAGACAAAACTTTAGAGTATTATTCTATAATTATTGATTTTATAGATTGGCATCAAAAATGAAGAAGGAAATTGTTATTGCTTAAGATATTCCAGGATTCATTGCAAATAGAATATTAATGCCATATATAAATGAAGCTATCTATACATTATATGAAGGAATTGGAACTGTTGAAGGAATAGACAAAGCAATGAAATTAGGTACAAACGTTCCTATGGGTATAATTACATATAAAATTTAGGTCCGTTAACTTTGGCAGACTTCATAGGATTGGATACTTGTTTAGAGATAATGAAAGTGTTACATTAAGATCTTGGAGATACAAAATATAGACCATGTCCTTTATTGGTTAATTATGTAAATGCTGGTTGGTTAGGCAAAAAATCTGGAAGAGGATTTTATAAATATTGAGTTAAATAAATTTAAAATATTATAATGATGATGAAAAAATCTTAAGGATGTAATAATCTAATAATATTCAAGTTTTTAAGAACTTAGATATTTTTGGTTAAAACATACAATTGAATTTTAATGGAGAGAATTAATATTAAACTGCTGTTGGTGGTTTATTTTCTATTGCAATTATTGCAGTTATAGGATTCTTCTTTCAATAGAACATTGTTAATTTTCTAAATAGAAATGAAATAAATCTAAACACTTAAACTATATTCGATTCAAATCCAGACAGAATTGAATTAAATGATAACAATTACATGTTTGCAATAGCAGTTGAATAACCTTAATTCAACACTTTTCCCTTCTTCAACATAACTATCAAATAACGTATATATACAAGATCTTCTAATGGAACAATATAGAAAAATGATACTTTCATTGATCTTATCCCTTGTACTTAAGATCGATTTCAAAATATTTTTAAGAATTAAAATTTCACACCTTAGTTTACTTCACTTAAATTATAGGAATGGTTATGTCCTCAACATAATTACTCTATTATTTTAAGTGGTGGTTACACAAGTGATCTTTTTGAATTTGTCAAAATAGCTGTTAGCGATTGTTCCAATGATACAGCTTCTAATACTATTTTATCTTGGAAACCTTAATGTTCTAGTTCTTAAAATAGAGATCTATATCTATAATAAGAACGTTCTTTTAGAATTAAAATGTAAAGTTTCTACTTTATTATAGGTATATGACAAATAATGTAATTAATCCATTATAAGTTTAGAATATGTCTTAAGTCTTTTTAGATGATGAATCATTTTTTTCTTTTCTTATCTAAACAGGAACAGAAACAGATGTCTTTTATTAAAAATATAACATAACTACAGATGATAATGTTTTTCCATATCTTAAAGAAATACAAGAAAATGTTTATAATGTGAAAAAAGCTGGAGATTTTAAAACTAGCACTGTCCAAAATAATGGATAATAATATTCAGCTATATATATGAGAAGAAGTCCATACACATTTGTTATTAAAAGGGATTTTTAGGATATTGCTGATTTACTCTCTTATCTTGGAGGATTTGCTAATATTGTAGCTCTTATTTTTGGAATCCTCATAAAATCTTATAATAAATCAAGATGTATGAATTATATTGATTTAATTTAGTTATGATTGATTTGGCTAATTAGATTTATGATTTTCCAATTAAGAATGATACTCCAGAAGAAAATTAAAAAAGAAAAGAAATTAAAAAAACAATAGCCAGGGCTAAAAGTAGAACTATAATTATTAAACCTTAAGATTAAGATTTATAATCTTAATTATAATCTCCAAAATATACACAAAATCAATAATTAATTTTAAATGATACTATTAAAAAAGAAGAATAATTTATATCCAAACAAGATGAAATATATCCAGCAAAATCAGAATTTATTATTACTCATCGTTAAGAAGAATAACGATTATTCCAGTAAGAATAAGAATAAATTATCAAATAACTTGGTATTAATGATCGAAAAGGTTATTTAACTTAATAAATCTTAAAAATATTAAATAGAAGCAAACCTATTTTATTTAATTATAAATATATACTCTCTAAAATCTTTTGTACTAAATTCTTTTATGATCGTAATTGTATACTATTACAAAAAGCTATGTAAGATTTTAAATTAAATAATATAGATAAAAAATTAATAAAGATTTAGATCTCTGTGTTATTATAGACAAAGTCAAAGAAATTAATTTATTAAAAGAATTATTATTAACTCAAGATTAATTAATTTTATTTGATTTTGCTCCTAAATAGACTATTAATCTTTTAGAGGAATAATAAAATATGACTAGAAGTTTAGTAAGAAGAACATTAGATAGTTTGAGATCAAATTCAACTTCAGTAGAGAGTTTTAATTAAGATGATTCACTTAATGCTTATTATAAGTTATTTTAGGTGACAATAACTATATATAATATAGGCTTATGATCATATTCATTAATCATTGTAATAGAGTAATAAAATAAATGAGAAATTAATTGAAAAATTAGGATAAGAAGTAAGAGATATTTTTGAAGTATCTCACTTTATTTAATGGGAAAAGAATTAAATAAAAATGGATAAAGATGATGTTCAATGTGATTCTGTTAATTCAGATCCACTTTCAATTAATAACATTGAATAAATAAAGATTAATTTGAAAGTTAAGATGTGAATGAATGTAATATTAATTTATATAAATTAAATGTCATATTTCTATAACAGATAATAAGATTAAACATTACCATTGCCACATGGTTATCAATACAATCAAAACTCTGAAATTTAAGCAAAATAAACTAATCATTAATATTTTTTAACTTAAGCTGCTAATTAATCACCTAAAGATAATGATATTAAAATTGAAATAATTCCAAAAGTTATTTAAAATGATCATTTAACTCCTTAAAGAAATAGAATCTTTGAAGAATTACCTGAAATTAAAGTAAGAAAAGAATTAAGTTAAACAAGATATAAATCTACACCTGGTAAAAGACATAGAATATTTGAATAAGATAACAGTGTAGATTTAACTCATTAAAAAATTGAATAAAAATAAATAACAAAAGTATCAAATAACAATCATAATATTAAATCATTACTTTTATAAGAAATAGAAACTATTAAATAAAAATCTTAGCTCTATTCTGGAACATATTCATAATTGTTATAAAAAGTAACAATCAATTTTTAATTAGTTAATTTAAATTGTCGAAAATAAATAAGATGATTTAAACTTATTATTAGATCCAGAGTTTAATAATATCATATTTAAAATACGTACATTGCAAGGTCTTGATTTTAGTGATAAAATCTAAATTGAAAAAATCATTAAATAAATTGTTAATTAAGATGATAAACTATTATTCTAAGGGTTAGTTAAAGAATTGATCTAAAATGAATGGATGTATTGGATAGAACCCTTGTATTATGATGTATAAAAATAATAAATACCTAAAGAAAAATGGAAATCATTCATTGAAAAACAAAAGTCAATCTATAAAGTATGATCATTTTTCTATTAAGTTTTATATATTCAATATTACCTTCTGTCTTCAACAATTCTTTAAAATAATTATTAATGTTTAATTCTTATTAATATGAAAAATAACTTGCCTTATCTAAAGAGATAGATAAGATTAAGAAAGGTTATATGAGAGAAAGAGAAGTTCGTAAAGGTATATATATGATTCAATTAATAAAGAATTAAATAATAGATTGGCATAAAATTATAAGAAAAGAGTAGAAAATTTTGTAATCAATATGCTTGAAAATCCAATTGTTTGTGCTGAATATAAATAACCAAATACTTAAGCATTTAGAGAGGAAGATCCTAGTAAAAATTTGGGTGATCCACAATTTTATGTTAAGGGTTTCAAACATGAGAAAGATCGTATCCAAGAATCTTTAGATAGAAATAAAGATCTTGATTTTCTACCAAATCGACAAGTTGCTCATTATTGTTTTCGTGAAAGAGATTCTTCCAAAGATATTAAACGTGATGTGTTTCGATATAGAGATAAAACTAGTTTAGAAAGAATTGAATAATTTTTGAAGGATCACACATAAACTTAGGTTGAAAATCAAAAATTTAGCAAAAAAAAACCATTTAATTTAGAAAATCTCTCTGAAAATATGAGTTCACTTGATAGGAAAGCATATATAAGTAGATTGATTGCCAAAAATTTACTACCTAGTTTACATCAAAAAACACATTTTTAAGCCACTGCTACTATGTTTAATAATTTGCCATGTATACTCCTTGTGTTAATTTCTAGTATCACTTATGGATCATGCTAGATCAGCTCCATTATTAAAATAAATAGAACCAGAAGAAAAAAGTATATATTATTTATCAATCATTTTAGAATCTCAACAATAACAAAGGGATAATTAGAAGACTGAAGAAATAGAATAGAAAGATAATAAAGTTAAGTAAGGTAATGAAATGGAAACTTTTAATCCTGTTGAAACTTCTAAATCTGTATTAGAAAAATGTAATGTCATTCGAAACAAAAATCCAAAAATTAGTACAATCCATAAAGGATAAGGACATTTAATCTCTACCTTAGATAAATCAATTTAAGAAATTTATAAGGATATTTATGGAATAGATTTAAGTCAAGGAAAGTTTTTTAAAAAATGAATTCATTATAATTATTATTGAATTATTATATTATTATACAAAAAATATCTAATAAAACTATTAATCAAACTTAAGAGATAAATTAGTTTGATTCTTTTTGGTAACTATTTTCATCTTTTTACAAATATCTTTTAAAATTTAATTTATAATTATAAATTCTTTTAAAAATTGGTTAATATTCTTTTGAGTAAATAAATAGGCAATTTTGAATTTTATATATTATATTTTAATTATAATTATAAGAAATAAAGTTGATTATATATTATTTTATCATTTTATCTACTAATAATTATAAATAATAAAAATCATACTCATCATCTTATTATAAAATAATTTATTAATATTACCTTTAAAGATGTCTTTCTAAAGTAATTTTTAATCTAAATTTGTAAATAAAAATTAATATAATTAACTTATTTTTAATAATAATTTAAAATTATATTGTATAATTATTCTAAATTTCATTTGTTTAATATTTTTAAATGAATATGTTTATATACTATATTTAAAATTAATATCAATATTTAATTTGTTGAGATTCATATTGAATTTAGATTGATTTATAAAATATACATATTAATTCTATGATAAGATAAGTCCATTTAAAAATTTAATAAGTTCTTATTAAATAATTGAGTATAGTTTAATATGAAATATAAAATTTTAAATAAGGCAACAAATCTTAAAATAAATAACATTATGAAGATAAGAATTTTCATTAAAAATTTAAATATTAATAGAGATGAACCCTAAAGTTCTTATGATTGTTGGAGATTATGGAGAAGACTTGGAAATATATTTTCCTTTCTAAGCTTTAAGTCTTTTAGGATTTTAGGTTGATGCTGTATGTCCATAAAGAAAGAAATAAGATAAGGTGAAGACAGCTGTTCATGATTTTAGAGATGGAGATTAAACTTATATGGAATCTAGAGGACATGATTTCACACTCAATGCTGAATTTCCTGTTGATCCTAGTCAATATGTAGGATTGGTTTTACCAGGAGGAAGAGCTCCAGAATATTTGAGATTACATGAGGAAGTATTAGTAATAGTGGAGTATTTCCTTAAAGAGAAGAAACCAATTGTAGCTGTTTGTCATGGAATACAATTATTGACAGCAGTAGGAGGAATAGAAGGTAGAAAATTGACTTGTTATCCTGCTTGTAAATTTGAAGTCACAAAATAAGGAGGTGTATATGAGAAAGTTGGATATGATGAAGTTGTTGTAGATGGTAATATTGTAACATCTCCAGCTTGGCCAGGACATGCAAATGCTTTTAGAGAATTTGTTAAACTCTTGGGAGTAACAATAACACATAAATGAGAATTCATTTAATCATAGATTAATTAATATCTCTATAATCCATACTAGTTAATCCAATTGGCTATTCTTCTTCTTAAGGATTGGTTTTCTTTTTTCTTAGTTTTTCTATAGTTTTAGTATTTTAATCTCCTTGAATATAATTGGAAATGTCAAAAACATCTTTAACCTCTTAGCCAAGTTTTTAAATCAAAATTTAATTGAATCTATTGTTTTATTCATTTGATAATGCAACCTTTTCATATGCTGAATAAAGTTTATAATATATTTGCATTCCAGGAGTGACAAATTAACCTTTTTTAAATTTTTTGTCTAACATCATTTTGGCAACATCTCCAAATTGAACTCCAAGAGTTTTTGTAAATGCTCTCCTATGTAAATGTAAATATTATTAAAATACTTATTCTCCCTTCTACCAGGTGGCTAATGTTAATAGCAATCATTATCAATTGTAATCACTTCTTTAGGAGCAAAATTAAATAAAATCTATTAATCCTTATTTAATAATAACTCTTTAATTAATTCAATTTCATTTATTTTGTCTATCAATACACATATATCAATATCTGAATTGATTTTCTTTCTATTCTCAATATAAATTCATACATTGCTCTATTTAATAATATTGAATTTTAATCCTAAAAGAATTTTCCACAAAACAATTAATGTAATAAAAATTTAATTGTAAAAACAATAGGTTTACTACGATCAAGCATAGCTTAAATTTACTTAGTCAAATATTCTTTTTTATTATGATTCCCTATTTTTCTTACAATTTTTTAATGGATTTCTTTATAAGATTTCTTCCTATCTTATTCAGTCTAATCCTTAGATATTCTTTGATCTTCATAATAATTCTTTGCACTCTCTTTTATCATATCAGAAACATCAATTTAATGATGATTTTAGATATCAGCAGCATCTGCACTTTACCATTCAACTTCCTTATCTCCAATTGGCTACCAATGATTACCTAATATCATTTTGCATGATTCATCCTTATTCATTTTAACACCTTAAATATAATCAAATTTTTAAGAAAAAGTTTATCGAATGGACATTCTATAATTCTTACCTAAAGAGGTATTTCCAGGATTCATAGATGAAATAGGACTACATCTACTTAAAATCATTGGTTAGGATTTCAGATATGTAATGTCTTAGACTAATTTTTATCTTTCAAATTTCTCTTAATATTCCTACCCGAAATTAAAGTCATAAATTTAATTAGCTAATTCAATTAAATCTAAATGTAAATGAATTTATATCATACATAATTGTTTATTATACATACCAACAAAAAATCCTAATACAACAATTACAATATTAGCAAATCCTCCTAAAATTGAAAGCATCTTATCCAATTTTTAATATGATCTTTTGATATATGTAGTGTAAGGGGATCTTCTAAGATAAATTGTTGCATATGTATCACTAGCAAAACTGTTTTAATCTCTATAATCTCCCTATTCTTTGGCAAACAACTCTTTTGTATCAAATGTATTACCAGTTGGAAGTAGATTATTATCAGTTTACATAAGATATTTAGTAAAAAATATGTCAACTTCTTTACCAACAACTTAGGGAATAAATGAGAAAAATAATTCATCATCTAAAAATGATTAAACATAATCATCACCTTTTTATGGACTAATCTTTTGATTTGTAATATATCTATATAAAATGTAATTAATACATTTTAACTCTATATTATCTCTGTTGTATGAGCCATTGTGATATTGCTTCATTGGATGCACAAGTAGGTTACCATGTATAAAAGGAATTTGTTTAAGAATGGTTGCTACATTGACTAACAGTTATTTTCAGAAAATCAAATAAATTATTAGTGTACCTTCCTTTGAGTGTAAATGAGTAATTCATTCTAATTATAATGTTATTAAATACTATGGACATAACCATGTGTCTAAACCAATCTCATTATATTGTTGAGTAAAATTTTATCCAAATTGATTAAAAATCTATTGGAATCTCTCTACAGTGCATGGAACAAGATCTAATAAAGTCTCATCTTTATATAATGATCCATCACCTTATCGTTCATAACGTCTAAATTATTATATGTTAATACCTTGATGCCATAGTGATATTGAAAAATGGATTAGAATTGAAATTTGTTTATTCAATAGCTACTGCAAACATGAAATTTGTATCATTTAGATAGATTAAATCTGGTTGATCTTCAAAGAGTTGATTGCTTTCACTTTGTATATTGACTTTGTTGACAAAATCTTTTATGTTAGATTAAAAGAATAACACAACGATTGCCAAAATTATTAAAGTCATTAAACCTCCACAACCAGTTTTATATTAATCTTCACCATTAAGATTAAGAAGAATATTTTATCCAAATAAATCTATTGATCTAAGGACTTTTAATTAGTTATTTAAATTACATTTCACAAAGGATTTTTTGTAATTGCTCATTTAAAATTATATTAATATTAAATTTAATCTTTAAGAATAACTCAGACTCATTTAAGAATTTAATATGATTATTATCTTCTATCATTTTTAAATTACTAAAATATATTCAAATTATATCATTCTTTTTTAAAGAATTTGTAAACTTATTGTGTCAAAGTAAAAACACTTTGGCTTTCTTCATCATCAGATAAATCTATATACTATTTTAATATAAATACCTGTATAACTATGTTCACTTTCATCACAAAAGTAATTGAAGATACTGATAGTAGTTTTTGTTTTAGAAGATGTAAGAGGGGTGATATTTTCAGTCCAATCATACAGGTAGTTCTCTTACATTTTATTTTCTCTCAAAATCTTTTTAAATAATGAAATCAAAAAATCATGATCTGGCTTATTTACATTCTGATTCCATTTTATGTACCCAAAGAGTTCAGCAAATGGAAGTCTACTCATTATTTTAGAACTTAAAAATTATTCTTTATGTCTCATCACTTCTTCATTGTAGAGCACACTATTTGAATATTTCATCCAAGGAAGATTACCTATGATCAATATTATTTTACCTTTATAGAGAAATACAAGTGTATAGGCAAGCATTTCAATATCATCAATGAATCTGTAAGGTAACATTCTATGTACCTAAAGAGGATCATATAGAAGAGTGCCTTCAACTTCTTGAGAATACACAAACTAGTCAGCATCCTTAGCTATTCCGAAATCAATCAGATATATTTATGAATCTATAAATCATTGCAATATTATACACCTTCAAGTGATTTTATCATTAGATTTGTTGGTTTAATGTCCCTATGTACAATATTTAAAGCATGAACTTCTTTCAATATTTCAAGTACTTTAATGCCAATACAACATATGCACTTTAAAGAGAGTTATTTCATTTTAGCCATTATAGTATGCAGATCTGAATTTAAATATTCCATGCTCAAATATGTGGATTTGCCTGATTCTCCCAAAGAGTACACTTTAGGAATTCCTTAGATGTTTGATAACTTTTTCATAATTTTATATTCATTAGATAAGTCAAACTTAGAATATTTGATGGCAATTTCTTATTTTGTAGTGTGATCTACGCCCTTGAATATTGTACCATATCCTCCTTTAAATAGCTTCTCATGTATAGTTAAACCTGGAAGATCATCAACTGAGGATATGGTTTTGTGAGTGTTGATAATCTAAGAATTTCGAGTCATTAATATTATAAAATGATTTAAACTGTTTAATTTAAGTCTCAATTCAAAAATGAAGATTAAGAATGCGCTTAATTTATACTAATCATATTTAATGTTCGAATTTTTATTATATATATATTAATAAACCAATAAAAGGAATAGAAAAATAAAAAAGATAGATGAATAAAAGTAATTGAAATTATTTATTTAATTAGAAATATTAAATTAAAACAAGGTGTATAAATAATTGTTCTGATATCTGTGTTATATTTATTTATTTATTATAATAATGTTTTTTAAGAAAAAGGATTGTTTTAATAATTAAGATATTTATTTATTTATAGTACTTCTTGTTTGCTTGAAATCTTAGAATTCAAAAAAACCAAATCTGAAGATATCTTTAGATAAAATGTCAGGTGCATCATTGTGTAAATCAGATAAACTTCCTAGCTTCAAATATTCTCAAAAGATTGTATCTTCTAATGATAAAGTATATTAATGAAACTACTCTTTTTGATTTAGACTACTACTTCGTCTAAAAATAAAGTTTAAAATTTCAGGATAACTTCTCATCTATCAATCCTTCTATTGTTTCTGAGGGAGATAAGAATGTAAATTTGGTTTAATCTATAATTGAAGTTGCTGTACATCATCAATCTTAATTTATACAATTCCTAATCCAAGAAAATTTGCAACTTAAAAAATAAAATTCAGATAAAGAAAAAATAATCATCAAATTCTTAATTAGATTTTAGTAAAGAGCAATTATTTCAAAATATAGAAAGAAATACAAATACATAATATTCAGAACAGTAATATTTATAATTAGATGATCTAGAATAAAGTATGATTTAAAAAAGCGAACTCTCCTTTAGGGTTCACATTTTGTAACACTGAGTTAGGGAATAATGTCAGAACAATTTAAAGTTAGCTAAAGATGTAATCTAATAACAGAGTCTCTAAGGAGTTTTAAATTGCACTCAATCAAAGATAGTTTTACATTTGAAGAAGGTTTAGGAATTGAATTATTATTTGAATTTAATGTTTTAGTTTAGTTTCAATAATTTAATTGTATATTGTTTCTGATGATGCTTTTTTAAAATATAGTAATAAAATTGAGATTCAAAATAAATTTATTTATTATAGTAAATATTATCTTGAGTCATGGATATCGACTGATGAGAACAATAGTTAAAAGTAAGACTATCATGTTGATTAGATTAAACTTTGATCCATTGTAAACGAACTCTTCTTCATCATCAGAATCTGAACTTAATCCTTAAATCTCCATAATAGTTTTATGCACATCATTTTGTTATTGCCAAACCTACAGTCTTTACTCTCCAGATATGCTTTCTTTTTCCATTCTATCCAACTTGTTATCATCAACAATATTTACATTCTTTTATGCTTTTTTTAATGTTTTTTTCAATCTGTTCATAATTTTTGGTTATTCTCCCTCTTCTGCCATATCAAGAAATAATCCTAATATTTCTTCTGATTATTAAGCATATTGCTCTTAATATTTTTACATAATAATATAATTTCATATTTTCTAATATCATACTATTTTTCGTAATTATAAATATTCTGATTTTTTATCAAAATGATTGTATTTTAATTATAAGTATATAAAAACTAATAATAATTATATATTTCAAAAACTCACACTTAAGTAATTCAGTAGATTCTTTCATTACGATATTCCTAGACTTTTGTACACTTGTAGATACCTTCTCAAATGAGACAAAGAATTGTTACACACATAAATAATCTACTATATTAATTAGATGTTTACATGATATTTAGTTATTAATATTTGAATAAAGGAACAAAGTCTAGAAATGTATTTTTCATTCATATCGGAACAGAAATTGACTGTATGATAGTTGAAGTCTCCAAATTTAACACAATATGTTGGCTATTCAACCTAATTAGAGAATTCAACTATAGTGTAGAGATTATAATCCTTTAGCATATTAAAATCAGTTTTATCATTAGGTATATAACCATAACAAATATGATTATCCAACTAATAGATTGATCTCTTTTTATTTTCAATTCCTTCGCAAAAAGCTACGATGTAGTTCTTGTATGAAAAGTTGAGATTTTATTTTTGTGAGACTGACCCGTCCATATATAAACACAATATTGGACTTGAGTAATGTTTTTTAGTTTTAATATGGAATTGATAATGAATTACTTTATCTTCAATAACATTGGCAATTATTTTTTTATAAGATATATCTTATTTTTATTTCATGCTTACTCTTTTTATATAATTACCAAGATCTAAAGTTGATCCAGAAATAAGCATTGGATACATCTAAGGGTTATAGAATTGGAACATCACTTTTCTATGATTCCAAATGTCATCTATGCCTTTAGGAATTTAAATATTTATTACGTGAAGATTCAGTTGTTTTCATTAGACGATTGGGACCAGATTCCCATTCAACATCACTAGGTTTGATAAAGGTAGATGAGAAGTATTTGTATTGGAAATCATGGATAGGGATATCAATGGTCCAAAGATGACCCTATTTAAGAGACTTGACTTACTTGATTCCATTACATTCGTTTAGCTTAATTCAAAGACCAATTACCAAAGTAGTCAGAATCACCAGAAATATATATTGCATCACCCACTAATAGTTGATATTGTAATTGAAAAGTTAACATATATGTTTATATTTTTAATGATTATCATTAGAAATTGTTGGCATCACTATTGTAAGTCATTATAGTACGATTTTCATTATTACGTATCTAAAAATGAAATATTATTTTTATTATTTTTTAATTCATTACTTTAACATAATTACAATTATAACCTATATAATAAGTAAAATTGGTTCCAATTTTTAATTTATCAATTTTTTGGAGAACTGGTCAATCCATAGATTTCAATTCGACAATAAAAAAATCAGAATAATTTCAAAATACACAATTTCACAATTAAATGATATTAAAAGATTATTTCAGAGAAAATTAAGATCAATTTAAATTAAATATAAGTACTAAATTTTCTATAATGAAGTCAACAAAAAAATGATAAAATAAAGTAAATTTAAATTAGATTCACTTCTCCTTAATATTATATATTAAATGATTGAAAAATAAAAGAAATTTAATTTTAATTCAGTTCTAAAAATAGTATGTTTCAACTATTATCTAAAGTACTAATATAACACTACTAATTGCAGGAAAATTTAATTCTATACTCCATAAACAATGTTGATTAGATAAGAAATCAACAATTTAGAGTGTAAAATAGATAAACTTATATTCTTTATCTAAAATTCGTTGATAAAACTAAAAAATATGTATGAATATTAGAGTTATCTAATTTATCTAAGTAATACTTCCATATTGTTAGATATATATATATATATAGCTATTAAAATTAAATGATATTTATTATAATGTGGATGATTATCAAACTTTGATGTTTGAGAAGTCAGCACTCTTAACAAGAGCCAAAGCTTATTCACTTACTCCTAATTCTCTGGTGAATTCATTCTTGGTATTGGTATAAATATCGGTTTCTTCAGCATAGGTGTTATTCTCTAATTCTAATTCAGCTGTGTATTATTTTTAATCAGCAGCTCTTTAATCTCTGAATTCACTTAATTAGTCAATCTTTTCTATATAAATTAATTTAAGTATTAATACCATTGGTGGCAGTCAAATCAACTGTTGCTCTGTCAATTTATCTTTAGAATTCACGGTGTTCATCATCTAATTATTCAAGGTAAGCTTCATGATCAATTACATCTTAGGCTTCTTATGCTGTTAAATCATTAATTTAATCAACAACAGCATTTCTGAAATCATTAAGGGCATCAACAATGTTCTTCAATACGTCTTAGTTGGAGAAGTTTTGATTTGATGCTAAACTAATTAAAGCCTTAATCATTGGAGCCATTCTGGATCTTGATCTGATCTTATTTTCAATATTCTTAAGTGTATTTTGGAATCTTCTGATTTACAATAATGATGGGTTAGTGAGTGAAGCAAGGAGGGCCAAAGCATCATCAACTGAAGCTGTAGCATCATTTAATTCAGCAACTTAAGCTTCAAAGGCTTCATGTTCTTATTCTCTAACTAAGATAGCCTCATCATAATTCTTTCTATTGTCTTCTTAATAGCCAAGGACAGAGTCAATTTTATCTTGAATTTAAGCTCTTCTTGGATATAAAAGATTATCTAAAGTATCTTATGTATTGTTAACATCTAAAATATTCAATATTTATTTTTACCAATGACAGCATCTTAGATGTCTTATTCTAATGAAACAACTAAGGCATTATGTTCATTTGTTCTAATTTAGAAATTGTATTCTAATTCTTCTAATTCCTCTTCTAAATCGTTGACAAGTTCTTCAATAGCATCAATCAATTCTTAAACTGGTCCTCCAGCCATTGAGTGTAACTCAACTAAATGAAGCAAGGCCTTTCCATAATTGCTCTTAGCCAAATCAGCTTATACTTTGGCCATATTTCTTTCTTAGACTCTAGCTGTGAAAGCCACAACAATGAGGGCAATCAGAATAATTGATTTCATTTAATTTATTATCAATCACATAAAAACGAATTTTTCCCATTATCAACCATAAATTAATCGAACCAAATAATGAATTTTCTCTTCATTTCATTATGTAATCATTCTATACTTATTGTTTCATTTATTTTGATCATCAAATACTACTAAAAAACTAATATTTCAAAATATTTGAAGAACCAAAAACGAATTTTTCTCATTGTAATCATATATCTGATTCATCATTTGAATTATTAATTATAATAACATAAAGTAAAGAGTATCACATTTTAGTTTGTTTTGAAAAGATTTAAAAATACATAAAATTATTAATTTTAATCCAAAATTACAAAACACATTTGAAATATAAGAATAAGAATAGAGAAAACTTAATTCAAAAAATATACTAAAAAATTTAGTATTATTAATTTTTAAGATGATATTTTTGAGTAGAATTTATATGATGATTCTTTAAAATTGGTTTAAAATATAAAATAGTTTAGAGTTATTTTAATCATTTTATGTTTATTAATATTTTTGATTTATAATTCATTTTTGAATATCTGATTTAGAGTATTGAACCATTATTTACTTTTATATACTTAAATAATGTTTTTCATTTTATTAATGAGAGAGATCATCATTGTTATCAAACAAAGTTATAATCATCTCTTTAAACTTATCAAACTTAATTAATTTAAAATATTGTAAGGAATGTAATTTATATATTAACAATTTTATGAATTCATCTTCCTAAATCATTAATATAATCTAGGCATACTCACAATATTTGTTTATTTGTCTATTTTTATAATATAAATTTATTATATTAAAAATGTCTATTGATACTATTTTTATACTGTCTCAAAATGGGTATACATCGTTTATTTATATAGTGAAATTTTAGCTCATAGAATATTTAAGGGTATTAAACGCAAAGAAACATTACCTGAATTTTATACTTAATTTGTGTAGTTCTTCAGAGGTACAAATGCTGTAATTTTGTGATGTTGAATATTGTTTAGGATAAGGAATATCCAATTATTAGAATCAAGGATGCCCTTTACCCATTTGTCACATTCTCAGATATCATCATAGGAGCCATTGTAACAGAAGAGATTCCTGTATTACAATTATTTGCAATATTATTTCTAATTCTGGATGTTCTCAAGTCCTCTTTTCCAAATGAATCTTCTGAGAAACTCAAGTAGAATTTACATGCAATCGGCATCATGCTTGATTCCGTATTTGATTATGGATATCCATAAATTACATAAAAGCACGTGCTTGAAAGCATAATTAAACCAGGGGGCTTAATTGAAAAAATAGAAGAAAAAATAATAGGTAGAAAGAATGTACAAAAAGAAACTGTTTCTGTATTAGAAAAATATATAGATTGTTAAGCAGATGTAAGAGAACATTGTTAATATCGAATCCCTGAAATCAAGGGCAATGAATCAGTTTATTTTGATGTTATTGAATTCTTAGATTGTGTATTCGATAAGAATGGAAGAATTTTGATTGAAGAAATTAATGGAGAAATTAAAGTTGATTGTAATCTATCAGGAATTCCTGAATTATTTGTATTCCTCAATCAAACCAACCAATTTAATGATTACACAGTTCATGAATGTTTGCTTTAAAAAATTGATACCTTTGAAAGGGAAAGAGTTTTAGCATTTGTTCCACCTTCAGGAACTACAACAATCTTTTATTATAATATCAAAGGAATTTCAATTAGAACACCCTTTGATTTCATTCCAAAACTTTAATTCCTAAAAAATTAAGTTAAAATAGAGATCCTTCTTAAAAATAGACCAGTTAGAGGTTAATAATATGTAGTAGATGAATTTCATGCCAAATTAACAGTACCTAATGGTCTGACTTTAGGAGAAACAGAAATGGCCCAAGGGACAATTTAACAATTAGAAAATGTAGATATCCTATTCAATCATTTAGGCAATCCTGTGGAGAATTGGAAAATTGGAAATTGATTCATCCATTAGATTGGCTGTCACCTTTACAGCAACAGAAGAATAATTCAATGTCATATAATAAGGAAATTTCTTGGTCCAATTAAAATTTGTTGTCAATACATTTAGTCCATCATAAACTAAAATTGATAAAGTTGAAGTTAGAAATGGAGCTAAAGTCATGACTAAAAAAGCTAGGAATATTGCAAAAAGTGGTTATTATGAAATTAGATTAAATTGATGATTCATTTATTATATTTCAATAATTTATATAAAGAGGAGAGAAAATGAATATTAATTAAATAATAATTATAATACTACGTCTATTATAATGAATTAAAATATTGTATTTTAAGAATATTAAATATACATAATATTCGAAAAAATAAATAATTATTTTATTAATCTTCAAATATTAAATTAATGTTACAAAATGTTGGTATTTAAGATTAGTTGTATTATACATATTTGGAATAAAAATAATTAAATATATTTAGTATTTATTTTAATGTAATCAACTTGATTATAGTTTTAATATATAATTTAATATATTCTATTATATCAAATATGAAAATCTATTAATAAATCTTTAAATTTGATTTATTCTAGATAAGATTTATATTTTAAATAAAAATAGAACCAAAATATAAATAATCCTGTTTCCCACTATTATAAAATGAAATCGATTATTAAATAATTTAAGTAATGAAAAACAAGAAGCCAATTTTGGATGAAAGAGAACAACTTTGGCATGTAATCAATTCGAAACCAAATAAAATATTTTAATTAAAAGGAACATATGATTAAGCATCTGCCATATCTCCAAATAATCATTATATTGCAGTTCAAATTTAAAATGAGGATGAAGAGAGGTAATTAATGATTTACAATACTATTCAGAAAAGAAACATCAGACTTTTAAAAAGTAACTATATTTAACTTCTTTTTTCTCCTGATTCATTGATTCTGGTAGGATCTATGTTTAATAAATAGATCTAAGTTATGAAATTAAAATCAACTGCAAAAAAGTTTAAAGTAGATAAACAATCTCAGTTAACTAACCCTAAACATTTTCCATCTTAATACAATATGGAATTTAAAACAGATAAAAATCAATTATTTGCGTTTTCAATCCAAAATGGATAATTTGCAATTTGGAATTTGGATAAGGATGACTTAATTGTAGTTGTTAATTATTATTTAAAAAACCCTCTGATGGTAGTGAAATTATCTCAAGATGATTTTAATATTTTAAGCATCATAAAAAAAATGAAAATACAATATTAAACAACTTCATAGGGTTTTTAAAAGCTAATTTGCAAAAAATCATAACTATTATCAGTTGAATATTTATAGGATGAAGGGGGAATGATGATAAAATGTAGAAATAAAATATTAAGAAAACATTTTGATAATAAATTTGAGGAAGGAGTGAAGAGTATCTAAATGTCAATTTAAGGAACAAGAATTTTATATGTATCAGATTTGATCATGTATTTATACAGTGTTACAACAGGAAATATACTATTAAAGAAGAAAATTTATAATGTTGAATAATTAATATTAAGTGATCAATTATTAATAATGATTGAAGGTGATATAATTAAGTATTGGGATTCAGTATAAATATGATTTATTTAATTATTATATATATATTTTTATAATTGAAAACACTAAAAATTGTTTTAAAAGAGAATATATAATTATGTTTTATATTAAAAAATAGTATAATTTTTAACTATTTCATTATATATATATTTATATATATACTTAATCATATCTTATTCTCATAAATACAATATTTTCTCAAATCTATTTATTTAAAATAACTTGAATAAAAGATTTAAGTATTTCATAAAATTTGATATATTTTATATAATCATCATTATTATTATATACATTACAAGCACATTAAAAAATCACCACTTTATAAATATGCATATTTGCTACAAATCAAACAGCAATTATTTCCACAGGCACTACATTCATTAATACACTTCTAACACATCAATTTAGTACAGACTGAACAATAAATATCATCTGAAACAATTTTAATTTCACAGTTTGAGCATTTCTTTATAATCTGATCCTCTATAATTGATTCTTGGTCATTTGTTCTCTTATAAACTATTTTTTAATTAGATGACAATTTCTACAGATACTATTGAAATTTTATTTTGACGCGCTTTTTTTACTATTACTTCCTGTTTGATCTTTGTATTACTACATTTAATCTAATTCTTTAGCCAATTGATAATTGATTTCAGAATAAACCTCTTATCTAACATTTGTATAGTATGGACTTAGACGAAACATATATATTAATTATAGAAATCAAATTATGAATTGAATCATTTTATCATTATTCTAAATAGTTCTAATAATCTTTATTATCAACTAAAAGCATATAGTCTCTCAAAGAGATATTTTTAAACCTTATTTATTTAGGTATCATCTTGAAAGAAGAAACTTTGGAATATTGATAAAACTATTAAAATAAGTATATTTATTTTAGTTACAATCTTATCAACGCAATAATAATAAAAATATTCTTTATTGTCAAACTTTTCCTTAATCCTAAATCACCTCCTTATAATAATTAGATAGTTACTATCATTAAAATGTATAAACCTTATTGAACAATCTTTCAATTATTTTAAAAATACTAATAATAATTGTCTCTATTATGAAAAAATAACTAAAGTCTTAGCACACCAACTTTAGTCATTGCTAACCTATATTGAAACACTTAGATAGTATTTTGAATTAAATATAAACTAGTAAGATAATTTATAATTAAGGGATCCTTCTAAATTATAAATTCTTTTATGCAGCTTTATACTTCTTTCTGTATATAAGTAGAAAACAATAATAATAGTTTTAATTTAATATAATAATAATAATATAAGTCAAGGTTAAATCTTTTTAACAAAACTATCTTCAATAAGGTTAAAATTTTATTATCAATTATTAAGTACATCATTTTAATACTGTTTTAAAGAGGATTTATATTATAAAATTAAAAAAATTAAAATAATATATCAAATTATTTCTAATAAAAGTTAATGAAGTAAGTAAGTAAATTAAGTTTATTAAAAAAGAAGTCTGAATTATAAATGATGAAAATTAAATGAAATCATAATAATAATTAATTCATTTCAAAACTTCTGCTTAACTTGTATTGTTATTGTTGGGTGTAAATGTGCCTCCATCTAATAGGAAATCAGTATTCTGAGTCTTATAACCTTATAGGTCATAGTTGAATGAAACTGATTATTATTGTTGGATTGCTATAGATTGAATTAAATAATAATACTATTTTTTCGAGGCTTTCTTTATGGACTTAATTAAGGAGTGGACACGATTGGATATTTGGCAAGATACTTTTGAATAAAAATTGAAATATTTGTTTACCTCAATAAATTTTTCTCTATTTATAAGTTTATTTTATTCCAAAGATCGAAAGAAATTGTTTGTTAAATCTTAATTCTATTTTACATCATATAGTGATTCTAAGAAATATTTCATTACTTTGATGCATCCAATATTGTCAATCAAATCAGTAATTATAGGTGTAAGAATACTATATAATTCAAATTCCTTATAAGATTTGCTTGAATATATTAGTCTATCATAAAGTGCCTCTATTAAATGATTTTTATTTAATTTAGAGTATTGTCCCATAAAGATAAGTGTAAACTCTACTCGATTATTAAATACAATTTCCTATTCCTCAATAGACACAGAAATTCTTTTTTTAAATGATATTTTTACAATAATTTAGGATACTCAACAGTCAATCTTGCAAAAAGTTCATATAAGAAGGAAACTCTTTAGCCAGCTAATAAAATCACAATATCAGATGTGATCCTTACTGCATTGACTAAACCCTAATAGGTTTATTCATTTCTATCTTTTCTATAATTAGTAAGGTTAATAAAGATTGCATCTATTGGGACTCTATTCCAATCCATTCTAAGATTAGCAAAATTGGCTCCAATAACAGAGATTTCTAGCGAATTCATTTTTAACTATTCTAAATTCTGCCATCCCATTTGTTAATGTTGGATATTTTAGGTTACAGCAATAACTGACATTCCTTGGTTGAGAAACTACCATTCAGGATTGTAATACTTGAATAGAATGTTAATTGAATTGACTGTTGATTTCAAGGACTCTTTAAGCAGGTTTCAATCTACCAGCGATATATCGACTCAAATGTAGAGGAGCAATTTTATTTTATTTAGTATCAAATAGTAATTTCTTCTCATCTTGATGATCAAAGATATGATTAGGATTTTTGGAGTTGACAACAAGATTTTTACTTATTGGAAATTGCATTTAAGTTTTATGAACTAAAAAACAACATTGTTAAGTGTTATCAGTGATCAAATGATATGGTGACTCAATTTACTAATTCATAAATTTCAATTGACTCATGATATTACTTTCTTCCAATGGATTTTACATCTATTTCTATTACTAATAATGCCCTTAATTTGGAGTTTAAACAGATCGAGATTTAGGACGCTATTCATTACTCTCTTCTCCTGTACACACACAGAATAACCTTTTCCAAAATGGTTATTTCGACATGAAAATATAATTAATATACACATAAACACATACATCATCAAATAAGTTTGTTTATTTGTTATGGAATCTTGACAGGATTGATTACAACACCTGCTTTAGTAATAATTTATGGTTATGTTAATGCTGAATGACTAGTTAGACTGTTCCATTCTGGACCAAGAGGTAAAGTATGTAATTGATCAAATTATTCAGAATTTGTAAATTCACTAGGTAATTTAGGAACTAAGTATTTAGAAAACTAAATAATTATGATATATATATATATATACCTTAACATCTCTTTTCTCACTAATAATAACATTATCTAATTTTGCATCTTATCTCTTCTTCTAGATTTCTCTAATTTTCTTTATTTTATTCTATAAAATCTATTCTTAAGTTAATGGTTTTTTCTCTTTGATACCAAATCCAGCCCAAGATCCCCATCCTTTTGTATTTGCTGGTTCAGGAGGTAATTCTTCTTCCATATCTTTTATTTTCTCATCTATAAATGCATTTTCATTCTAATTATATATTTATTTATACTTCATCTTCATCCAAAACTAAATTAAAATTAGCTAAATTCTATTATAATAATTCATCTGGATCTGATTATAATTTCTTTAAATCTTAATTAGTTAATTTTTAATTCACTTATTTTTCATATTTTTATTTAATATTTTTTATATTTAATCCTTCAATCAATTATTTCTTTTCATCTTAAATAGTTAATTACTTTTCTTATTTATTCTATTACTATAATTTCTCAGGTTCTTAATTTAAATAATTAGATAAGGAAGTCTTAGCATCAATTCTCTTTTTCTAAGTTTCAGTTAATTATTTAGTTTCATTAACAAAATTAGCTCTTCCATTAAATTCATTATTTTCAATATTTATATTAGATTTATCTTTATCACCATTTACATTTGGTTCATAATTATCATCACTATTCTATTCTTGATTATCTGATTCATCTAATTATATAGCATCATCATTTCCTGATTTGAGCATTGTCAATAATTTCTATGCTATTGATTTAGATTATTATAAATCTTATTTCTTTTATTTATCTAAGAATCCAAAATTATTTTATTTCTCTTTCTCTCTTTTTTCAATATCTTATAATTCTTATTCCAATTATGATATTGCTTATTCTCTAAAGTTTTCTTCATCAAATTCACCATCTTCTAATTCATTAAGTTATGCTTTAGCTAATAATTAATGTTTAATATTATTTAAGAATGACTATTGTTATTTTAGAGATTTCTTGTCTCCTCCAAATCTTAGAAGTTAAGAGACAAATTTATTTTTAGTTGAATGTCTAAGTGTTATTCTTTCTTTTGCTCTTGATAATCTTAATTTTTCAATTTCTTATCTTCTTTCTGCAGGTGTTAATTAAGCCATTAATTTCAATTTCTCTTTATTACCTTTCTTTTTCTTTATTTATTTATATATTTTAGATTTAATTGATGAAATCTTCTTCATTTTAAGATCATTATAGAATTGTAGATTACTCTTTTATTAATTTGATTATCCATTCAATTCTTATTTTTATTCAACTTTCTCAACTTCTTCCATAGCATTCTATAATTTAACACCTAAATGATTATTTAATAAAGCATTTGATGTATCAGAACTAATTTATATTTTTATATTTTACATCTTAGATATCTAAACATTCCTTTATTTAGTAAAGTCAATTCTCTCAGATTCTCTATTTTTCTTAACAATTGGTAACCATTTTTTTATATCTTACTTCATTACTGTTGCAGCTACTTTACGTTCCTATTAGTCTCTTTCAGCTTGAGTTTCTGGTTCTTAAACAATCCTCTATATTTAATTGATTAGATTTACTGCTTTTTCTTGTACTCTTAAGTATTGAGTTTTAACACTATCTATCTATTATCCTTAGTCTTCAAGTGTTTAAATCAAATTAGCAACATTAAAATCATCTTCTTGAGTCTCTTATAATTTGATTTACTAATAAACATCCTATTTCTCTATTTTTTTAGCTAATTATTTTTCAAGCCTTTATTCTTTATTCAATTTACCCATATTTAAATTAGTAATAAAATAAAAATATATAGAAAATATTTAATCATTATACAAATTGCCAAGGAGTAAAACCTTCTTTATTTCTCAAGTTTAAAGCCCCCTAAGAAATCAAGATATCAGCAATATTAAAGTAATTATATGCAATTGCTTTATGCAAAGCAGTATCACCATCATTCTTAAAGGATAATAGATAAAAAAATACATTTTACACATTTACAAAGGATCCCTTGTTTAAAAGTAATTCAACTATTTCTACATTTCCAGTTTAGGCTGCAATAATCAAATAAGTATTTCCATCTTTTAATCTTTAATTGATAGATAGATTAGGATTATTTACAAAGAGTTCTTCTAACTATTAAATAATATTTAAAATATATACTTCAGATAATTTTTATTCTTCTATTAATAATTTAGCAATATCTATAATAGGAATAGATTATCTTCTACGAGCTTCAGTAATTTATGTTCTCATTTATAAAGAGTGTTTAGTCATTGAAGATATCATAACAGCATTTCTTCTTTCTTGACTTTTAGTAGGATTTTGTTTAATTAAATCTTCTTTTTATGAGATAGGAGCTGTAGTATTTTAAATAGTTTAAGTAGTAGTAGCTTTCATTTTATTAGATTAACTAGTATTATTACTATTTTCTTTAATACTATTATCTTCTTATGGAGAATCACTTCTTCTTCTTAAAACACTTGTTTGACTTGAAGTAGCTTCTAATAATAGTTTAACAGGTTTATTCTATTAATTTATAGTTTGATGACGAGGAGATGATATAATTTTAGAATTATTCTTTTAATTTGATCTTTCACTAGATGGAGATTAATCTTGATTGGATTTCTTTTTCTAAATTGGTTTAGCAGCTTTGATAAACATTTTAGCTATATCAATTTTAATAGTAGATTGTCTTTTTTATTATTGATCTTCAGATTCTACTTCAATTAAACCATAATCAGTTGTTAAATTATTGATTTCATGTTGATCTTCAAATTCTCCTGTTAAAATACTATTATATTGAAGAAATCTAAATTTTGAAACTTTAATTTAATCTTTTCTTTTAAGAAATCTCATTAAAGAATTAATATTTCTTATTAATTGATCATCATTTAGAATAGGATTAATTCTATCATTAAAAAATTATGTATCATTTAGGAAATTAGGATCATGTAACATCATATTTCTATCTACACAATCTAAACTATTTATAATAAATTAAATATGATTTCTTAGATTAACAATTTTAATTTAAGATTAACATTACAACATATCTTAAAATTGATTATCACTGCTACTAAAACTTTGATTATCATATTCTGAATTATCAAATGAATAATCATATTAATAGATTTAAGATAATAGGAAACGATTAGATTCAATTTCTATTTAGAATGTTGGATTTGAAAGTGATTCATGATTACTATTAGCAGGATTAGTACACCAAGAATAGACTCTGCTAGATTATTGACTTTCATTTGGTTTTGAAAAAGAAATTGAACCTCTTTTCTCTTATATTAATTATAAATGTAATAGGATATTCTCCTCTAATTTAGTGAATGTACGAGACATTTTATTTTGTAAATACATTTTCATGAACCTTCTAGTCTTACTTCATAAAATAATTACTTTTTATATATTATAATATTGATGAACATCTTCTTATTAATTCTCTTCTTCTGTTACTCCAACAATCTTCAAAATAGATTTAGAAAACTTTGTTGTCATTTTCTTAGGTTATGAAGAGATCTACAATAAAATTGTAATTACTTACAAATTACAAAGCTTACTTCAAGACATGTTTAGGTTTGTCTGTATATTCTTAAATTTCATCTTATTCTTATAATCGTTATCCATAATCTGGTATACTAAAAGAGTATATTCCAATTTAGTTTTCTGGACTACATACAGATATAGTTAATTTTCTACGATTATTTTATGGTAATGGTTGAAGAATTTCAGCTTTTTTCTCTTCAATAGCCTCTAAAACTTGAGATACAATTGTTCCTGCCTTCTACAACTAAGTTGCCTAGTTTTAAAACTAAATCGTAGAAAGATGATTAGTAAATGTAAATCTAGGACTTGTCATTTATGTTTTGAACTTATCTGACAAAAAACTATTCTCATTTGTATGAATATCATCATGTTATATATGACTGGTAGTAATAATTTATCTAATCTTTTTTAGAAACATTTAGATATTCAGATTATCATTTATTTAACAATAAGAGTCTTATAAATTATGATTCCTTATAAAGATTTTTCTTCTCCATTCTTTTTTAAATTGTAAAGGACCATCTAAAGTAAAATTTTTATCATCTTCTTTCTTTGATTTCTCTTCGGTAATGATATTTTTAAATTCAGCAGATGCTACTAATTTGAATATTGATTGTTATTATTTAATCTCATTCTCAGGAACACTCTCTTAAGTTTTTAATTAAGTAGCCTTAATCACTTTTCTTGCTACAACTCTTCCAGTTAAAGTAGGTGGAATCTAAATCTAAGTCATTTAAGGTAGTGTTAATGGAGGAATGATACTTTTAATATTTGATCTTTATGTGATTCGACTTATAAAAAATGTTTTAGTATTTGAAACTTCTAAAACAGTGTGTAAAGATTTGGTCTTATTATGACTTTTAGTTCTCATTATAAATATATAATTAATTGTAAATTAGTGTTTTGATGTTTAAGCAAATTATATTATTTAATATATTTAATTCATTTAAGAAATGAATAATAAATGGCTGCTAATATGGCAACTATGGCTAAGAGTAAAATAGTTAAATTAATAAAGCAATTGCAATCTGCTAATTGTTCATCACTTTATTCATTCACTATAAATAATAATAATTATATCATACTTGAATTATTAATTACATTGTTACATTGATTAAAAGTCTAATTGTAAGTGATGTTATTATTTATAGTCACTGGCATTTAACCATTAATCTAAGTATTGTTAATTAATGGTTATACTTTTTTATTAAATTTATTTTTATTGTGCTATTATAAATCTTAAATCTTACTTTCTAAGGAATTATCTTCCTCTTGAATTACAATTTCGCCAATTCTTATCTAGCCAATTCCTATTCTTACATTTAAGTAGCCTTATCAGTATAATTCCATTAGTTTTGTTTCAACCATTCTCTAATATCCTCCAAATTCTACTCTTGAATTCTCTTAAACTCATTTTGTACTTGAGGATCCAGTAAATTTATACCATATTTTTAAGCAAATTCATATAATTTCTAATGCTCATTTAATTAAATACTTACTTTCTTAGGTCTATTAAAATCCAATTAAGATATTTTTTCCAATTATTTCTTTGCTGCTATTGCTTTTTATAATTTCTCTCTTAAATCTTCTGCCTCTTTCAATTAACCATTCTATTAATATATTTTCACCATCTCCATCCCTCTTGTTTCTATGAATCTTCCTAATTCTGATACTTCTATTGGAATAGGCTTTGTATTATCTAATTCATAACTCAATTCTTAATCATAATCTTAATAAGCCAAATGAGCCATAAAATCTTATTGAACATCCTCATCATCTTCTTGTTTCCTATATTATTAAATCAACTCCAATTATTTTCTTTATAAATCTGTGTAATTCTAATATTCTAACTCTTTATATGTTAATAATTATGCCTTCACCTTCTCATAAAACTTTGCTAGTGCTGCATTATGTGGATCAAGTTGCTATGCAAATTTAAGATCCTTAAATGCCATTTAACAATCAATTTATGTAATATTGTCTGATAAAAAACGGGACTATTACTATATCTAATATTTACTTTTGCACGTAAAATCAAAGCATTTATACACTAAGGACTCATTTGTAACCAATAATCACACATCTTTGTACATGCACCTTACTCCAATTGTCTATAATAACATTCTGCCATCTTCTCAAATAATTTGAGACGAAGTCCTTTTACTCTTTAAATTATTTTTATTACTGTTTATATGAGATTATTCTGGTTATTTTTATTGAGTTAACTCTTCAAATGTAGTATCTTCCCATCTTTTTGGAGTTTTAGCATCTACAAATACAGACATACAAATCTCAAATTAATCTATTGCATTTCCAAATTGTTCTAATATATTATACTAAACTCTCATTTACCTAACTCAAAGAATTTCAAACCACGTTCGAGTAATAATTCACATATTTTCATTTTTTACTAGAAAGATTAACGTTTTTATTGCTTGAATGCTAAACGAAGCATTTCTTTTTTAGATAATATAATAATAAATTAATTAATTAAAATCTAAATATTCCTAATCAGTGTATTAAGTTAAGATAATATCTAATAAAAATTATTTAAATTTATATCAAATTTGAACATCTTGAATATTATTAAATTGATATTTAAGTTTTCTCTATTAAAATACATTAAAAATAGAAATATAAGTAAGATAAATACTCAATTAATTGTTATATGATATAAATAAATTTTATATTTTTCTATTATGAATGTAAAATGTCTATTAAATTTTATGTTTTTATAAATCTTATATCAATAAAATAATGTATTAATAAACTAAATACAATAGATTTTTAATAAAATTTTGTGTTCTTATTTTTTTAAATAATAAATTTTAGATTAAAATTCTAAATGATTATTATAAAATGTAATTCAAATTGAAATTTACTTTTATATATCTGAAATGACAATGTAATATTTGATTCAAAGTTAAATTCAATAATGTAGGCAGCAATTTATTTGAAGTATTTATTATCAGTAAGAAATTTAATTTAATTATTCATTATTCAAAATATGCAAAGAATTAACTTTGCTAGTTTCTTTTATTTTGAGGCATTCATTTCTTTTGAATTAATTTGGACAAGTTTTAATACCAATAACAATTTACTTTGGATTCCAATCTTATTACACTATGTTGGTCTAATTATCAAGGTGGTTTTGATAAAATATTCAGATAAAAAAGTGTTATGGATAATAGGAGTAGGGAATGATGGAGTAGTCTTAGGATTATTGTAATAAGATAATTAAGATTTAGCTTATTTATATGTAGAGTAATTTTTAAATTTTTTTAGATGCTTATATTGATATAATTTGAGCTATTATATGACACAAAAATGTTTTATAAATAGAGTATACTTATATTGTATTGGGGCATAGTATCTTAAATTTTATAAAATTATATGGAAGTTTGGAGATTGATGTTAACATTGGGAGAATGTTTTGCATTACTTGGATTTTTATACTTTATAAATCGAAAAAAGAAAAAGACAAATATTGCCAAAACAAACTAATGTGTACAATTAGAGACGACTTTGAGTGCAAAAATGCAAATTCTAAAATTAATGTATGAGTGATCAGTAACCGAGGCCCTGGATGACAGATCAAAAATTCATTGTGCTAAATGATCATTTTAAAAGTCTACATAATTAATCTGATATCTGTATATTGATGGAATGCGATGAAGATGAAGCAATTGGACATTTATTAGATGTAAAATGCGATACCATTTCATAAAATCTAATAAAATTATTATCAGATAATGATACAAATATCATATCATCTCCATTTAAATTCCCATTTTTAAAACCAGATATAAGAACTATTTTGACATCTCTATTATCTGATATGAATTCCTATTATTCATATTTCAGTGTAAATGATTTAGATAATAAAAATCTTATTCATGTTAAATTAAACTTTTTTGTCTTGAGCGACAACTTTATTGATTATTTAATAATCCAATTTGAACCTTAAATGAAATCAATTAATAAATCTGTTTGTACTTATCCTGATAATTTTAAATTAAATAATACAAATAATTTCTATAATAACTCAAACAATTCTAAGCAAACTTATGAATCTTTATCAAGTGAATTATTAGGGAATATATTTTAATCTATTTCTCATGAATTTGGAACATTTCTTAATTGTATATTGTCTGTTTCATCTGAAGCAATGGATAATGAACTAATCAATGAACAAGTCAAAGCAACTTACATTGAACCTATTTATATCAACTCTAAATTGCTTTCTTATGTACTCTAAAATGTGAGAGATTTTAACACTATTTTATTAAAACAATTTGCTTTGAGACTCTAAGAATTCAGTCCCTACGAAATTATTCAAGAAATTTAATATTTACTGAATTAATAAACAACATAAAGAAATAATTAAATTATTATAAATTGTCCTTAATAACTTCTTGTTTATAATGATCAAGATAGATTCAAATAAGTACTATATCAATTAATGAGTAATTCTATAAGATTCACTGAAAATGGTATCATCACAATATCTATTGCTTTTTATAAGGATAAAATTAAAGTTAAAGTGAAGGATAATGGTATTGGAATGAATCAGCCTGAATAATTGAAATTACAAAAATTGTTAAATGACAACAAAAAATTATTAAGAATTTCTCATAATTCTGTTGGATGTGGATTAGGTTTAAGTATATCAAATGCAATCGTATTGAAAATGAATGGAAAGCATGGAATTCAATTTACTAGTGAATTATAAAAGGGAAGTGAATTCTTCTTTACAATATCAAATTCCTAATAACTCTATAATGATAGTGTGTATGTGGCTAGTCAAACTTATGTGAAAGTGTTAAATTAAACCTATTATTTAGAATAATAACCAATGTCTGATAGCTCTCATAAAGGGTATCATTAAAGTAGTAGTAATCACAAAGATGAAAATGGTGATACATGGAGAGAAAAAAGTTTATTTTAGAACTAAGTTAGATGTCTCAAATCAACTGATACAAAATCATTATTTGGATTAACTCAGAAATTGTAATTAGAAGAGGATGAAATTGAATCAAGATAAGAAGAGTCCAAAATTATGATTCCATCTCTTTAAGCTAGCTTTAAGTCAGAAATAGTTAAATTCAGTATTGGAAGCAATTGTTGCAGTAGAGTTTTAATTGTAGATGATGAATATTTTAATATTTAAAGTCTACAATTAATATTACATAGATTCAATGCCCATTGTGATTTCACTTTCAATGGGCAAGAAGCTATAAAGAAGACTCTTTAAAAAATGAAGGAACCTTGTCGACAATGTTAAAATAATGGTTATGTTGTATTTTTTCTCGACCTCAATATGCCAATAATGGATGGATTTGATACAGTTCTAAATTTGAAGAAGATGATGCATGAAAATCAAATTCCAAAAGGAATCTGTATTGCAAATACTGGTTATGCTGATTTAGAAAGCAAACAAAAAGCCTTAAATTCAGGAATGGACTTTTATATGATAAAACCTATACAAATAAAGGAATTAGAGATATATTTAAAGAGAAGATTTCCTTAATGATATATGATTTTCTATATTATAAATATATTAAGTCTTTGTGGAGAAATGCTGATGGTAAAATGTATTTTGAAAAGAAGGAACAATGATGAATATTGATATTATGATCATGAAATGTCCAATAAGGAATTACAGAATCTGTCATCATAGTTTTGGATGCGAAAGATATTGAGTTTGATTGAATCTGCTGCAAATTGATTTGCACACTCAATTACGCATGTTTCAGAATCAATGTTAATATGTTTAACAAGTCGAGGATTGACAGCGTGTCCAACAGCAATACGTAACTCTTCAATTTTTAGATCTTGAGTTTAAATCTGCTTAATTTTCAATTTGACAGGCTCCTCGATCAGTTCATTATTCTTTTTCTATTTCAACTACTTGCACTAATTTTTGTAATTGAGCCAATCGATCTTACTCATCACTCGTAATCCGCCTTTGATCATTACTAAATTAGACTCTCCTTACTTTCCCTCTCCATAATCTCTTTAGGTATTAAGTTATTGAAAACTTGAATGGCCTTGTTTACACTCTCGATGTTAAGAAAGGTTATAAATCCATACGTGTCGAATTTCTTCACTTGTAAGACCTACTTATCTATCTATTATATAATGAAAACAAAAACTACTCTGCTAAAAATCTAATGTAACAATTATTGATCTACTACTCGTGGAATGTTTTCAACATAAATAGTCCTTTCATCCATAAAATGACTATTATCAACAAATGGAATTTTCCTCTTCACCATACTTCTATCTTCATCAACCTCCAATATATCACTTCTTTTCAATGCATATATTAGGATGAGCACTTGTTGCTTCGATCCTTTGGGATAATTACGAAGTATAACTTTTATCTTATTACATTATAAGAATGCCTCCAAAGGGATCCAACCCTAATTTTCTTGGAGTAATCGTCTGAAATAGTTATCATGCAATAGATTAGCATCTCCTAAGTAGAATTCAATTTATTTGCAAATCTTGGGTAATAAGTAATCATCCTTCTCTTGTCGGGATGAAACAACAATTTTGGCTGTAGGGTCATATTAATCACCTAATTGGCAATCCAAACTTTGAAATTAATTGATGTTCTTCATTATTAAATAAATAATTTTGAAGATAATAAACACTATAATCATATCCTAAAATCTTATGAGTTCTAATATGAATGAATCAAAAATATACTTATCTCATATAGATTTATAAATTATTATGTCATATTTGTAATAGCAAGTCCTATAAAATCAATTATATATTTGTTTTAAGTTCTTAAATATTTTGGATTGCCAATTTACATCAATGAAGGAGAGAATCATAGAAAAGATTGAGGCTAAGAAAAAGGAGGAAGAAAAAAAAGAGGATGAATAAAAAGAAGTCTCAATCAAAAAGACAAAAAAAAAGATAATAAGGAAAATAAAGATATAGATATTTTTTAATTTCCATATCATTTATTTAGACATTTACTAATTTTACTTCAGTATCTACTGAAATTATAAGATATATAATTTTTAAATTAGTATTTTTTTTGTAAAATGATTTCATAATATTTAACAAATAACATTCATAATTATTATTATTGTTTTTCTTCTTTAGGAAGATTAGCATGATATATTTTTTCCCAACTTATAATGGTGTTATCAAGATTTGTTATACTTTATTATAGGTATCCATCCTAAAATAGGGTGATAATAAAATACAAAGAAGGTATTCAAAGTGAACCATAAGGGTCTAACAATCACTTTAAAGAATCCCATTTCAGATTTAGCCATAATATGCAATTTATCAAGATCTTTCAAAAATGGTGTTTATGGAATTCCTAACCTACCCTCTTCATCATATTATGCACTAAATTCTTTATTAACTCTCTCTGACCATATTCTTGATATCTCAAAAACTTTAGCTCCTCCATTAAAATCTGCTGTATGAATTATCATTCCTGTTAATAATTTTAAATCATCATCTCCAGTACCAAATGGTTTTGTAACTTCATCTTTGATTCTACTTTCAAAATCTTTTAATAATGTAAAGTGCACTTTAATATCAGTATATAAAATGTTATCTATAAGAACTCGTCTGAATTATTAACTTTATTCTTTTGATAAAGTGTTCAAAAAATTAAGTGATGGATCTTTTAACATAAAAATAGTTGTTGCAGCATGATGTTATTCTAAAGGCTTATATAATAAAATGATTAAATTACACTAGAATCATGATAACGTGTAGCTAATTTTGATTGACTATTGATCATAAAAATATTTGTTCTGCCAGTATGTGATACATCATGACATAAACCTGATATTATAGTTGACATCCTCCTAAAATCATCAATATATTATTTTGCTTTTCCACATTATAACATATAATGAGCACTTTACATAACAGCAATACCATGATCATAATTATGAAATGAATTATTTCTTTTGTTATATTTCTTCTACAAAACACTCAAAAATTAAGCTAAACATTGTTTATTTAAATTATATTATGAAATAAAACCATTCTTTTCTAAAATACTATATACTATTCTATGTTTCTCTTATGATGAATCTAAAATTAATATATTAAATTCAAATAGATCCAATTAAGAATCACTATCATTCACTTTAAATAGATTAGCATCTACTGTCTCTAATTATTGTTAATATTTAACATAAACACTAGATCCTATTTTCTTTTTCTTTTGTGGAGGTATAATCCATTAATCATTTTATAAATCTTTACTTTATTATTCTGGACTTCTACCATCTGTTTTACGATGTCTAATCTATTATAATTCATTTTCTGGAATAAATAATGCAATCATAGAATTTGCTACATCTTAAGTTTCATCCAATTAATTTAAAAATTTAAATGTCTAATGTTTATTGTATTAAATTAATATTTATTTCTAAATGTCTTCCTCTAAAGATTTATTAGCCTCTGCCTCTTTCTATACATCATTTGTCATATTGTCTATTTTCAAAGCCATGAAATACTGTTTTAATCTTCTAGCTTCATTCTCATGAAAAATCACAGTAAATCCTTTAAAATCATTATCAACAACTTTTAAGAAAATTTCAAATTAAGGATTCTCCAAATTACTTAAATATTGATTTCTTCTATTTTCATGTATGTTCTATATATTCACCTCAATATTTGAAATGATACTATTCTAAGCAAAGATATCCTAATATGAAATCTTATTATATAAAATTGCTTTAGGATCAAAGTTTATACTATATCTTTCTCTATATATGTTTTAAGAAACTTATACTTTAATGATTTTGAAATTGGTCTACTCAGAAAAATCAATTCTCCTTATTTATTAAAATCAAATAATAAAGAATCTGTTGTCCTCAAAAAATATTTATAAAATGCTGACTTTTCATAACACAATTTCACATAACCATCATACTTCTCTTGTATTTAAATGATCTATTAGATTATTTTATAATAATTACCACTTAATATAAGTGTTGATCCTATTCATTTTTCAAATCCATATCTTTTATTCTTAAAGTAACTGGATTTGAATCCTTTAATTCTATTTTAACACATTAAGATTCTTTAAACTTTTTGATATTCTCATCTGTTGAGAAAGTTTATTCCTTATCGACTTCAAATTTTATGCTTAAGACTTTCTTAATTCCCTCAACCAACAAAAACCTAGATATACGCATGAAACTTATTCCTATATCTTAAACCTAATCAGCAAATCTAAGTGGATTAAAGAATTGGACTTTAGCTGTAATTATGGTTTCTACCAAAAATTATGCCAAATGAGTCACATCCTTATTGAATCCATACATATTAGCATAACTTATATAGTGAATCTACAAAGTACTTAATAAATTTCCTTTTGATATTCTTTTTGTCTTTGTCAGCCCAATGAAGGCAAAAGAGAACTTCATAATTCTTTAATTGCAATTAAAATTTAACAATTGAAGTTTATGCATAACCAATTGTCTTACAGGTATCTTCTATTTAAGGATACTATCTTTATTTTGGATCTATTCTATGAATACAGAATGGACGTATATATGCTAATTCATCTGTTACCCTTTAAGCCTCTTCAGGTGTTACATCTTTAATTGAATCATTAGAAGATTAATAAACTTCCCATTCTTTATCCCGATGAATAAAGAAAGTGAATTCATCTGCATCTACAAGGATTTTAAGTAAGAATTTAAGGACTTAATATAAATTTTCATAGGAAATGTCCTCTTACATGAGAAGTAAATGAGTATGCAAATTTCCAGTGAAAATACTCTTTAATTCTTTATAGATATCATCTATTCCCTTTGACATTTTCTCGTAAACATCCTCATCACTTGAATCTAAATCCTTCTCACTAATTTCAGCTAATTTACTATTTTCCGATGAATATCTGGCTCTAAATGGACTCACTCCATCCAAATCAACCTACTCGGTTGTGAGCTTTGAAATTAGACTACACAGTTATATCAGCTTCTCTTTATCCTCTGGTACAAGTAAACTATGCTTATCAATATGTTTATGTAAAACTCCTGTCAATTGTTCAATCATGACAGCTGCAGCACTTGCTAAAGGTTAAGCTGATGATTCTTGTTGATGTACTACCTCTGGTTGTTTTTCCTACTCAGCTACATCTTTCATGAAATGAACTGTCTTTGATTTATGAGATCTCCTTCTCTATATTTGTTTGTTTTATGCAGCTAAGTAATCAAGCAGGGCTTCTCTCAATAACATTTCTCTAAAATGTTCATATTCAATTCATACTTCCCAGGACCACTATTTTAAATCAACACTCGACAGATTTTCTCCTCCTTACGAGTAAGATTACTTTTCAGTAAGGACTTCTATTCAGGAGTAATTTGATTTGTCTTGCAGAGATTAGTAACTACAATAAAGAATTAAGTGTAGTGACTTAATTATGGATCCATTTTTATATTTTATTACAATCGTTTCATAGTAATATGCACTTGTGAATAAACAAATAAAATTGAGAATACTCAACTGAGCATAGTTCATTTAATAAAATATCATCAGATTTCCATCTTCTATTGAAATAGTTTCTCAAACACCATTCCTGCCCCTGAAGGATCTTGGAAATACTATAATCTTAAATTATTTCTACAATATTTAGTGATATCTTACCTATTGTATTCCCTTACATCTTTACATCCTTACATTCCTTTTAGGTATTTGAGCAATGACTCCAATTCCCTATCTTCCTTGTTATCATAAAACGGAACTATTGGTATACCATTGTCTAATTGCCAAGCATAGGAATAAGATGCATTGTCTACCAAGACTAGTTAACTTAATGGTCTATCAAAAATTCTGAGATCCTTTGTATACATGCCTCCTGTTGTCATTATACAATTGTCTCTATAAAGACTATGAGAAAAGAGAGTCTTCTAAGGATCCAGATGTTCAATAACTTTTTAAGCATAACAAGGATGTGAAGCTGTAAAGATTACCAATTCAAAATCATTCACAAGTAATTCTAATAGCTTTACAGCTCCAGGTCTAATATTTATGCCTGCCTTAATTGTTTCTTAGGGTGACACTTGAATGGATAATATTAAATCACTTGGAATTACTAAACTTTCATTACAATGAACTAATGTCTCATCTAAATCAAATACAATTGTAATTTTATCTAATAATATATTAAAGCTTAACATTACTTTTGTAGCATTCCTTCTATTTTAACTTAACTTTCTTATTTTGCAGATCATTTGGATCAACTGGTTGTAAGTAGGATGCAACACATATTCCTTGATAAGTTTGAAAAAAGTGTTCCCTATACATTCTACTGAAATAATCATCCTTTAAAGGCTTAGAAAATGCAACCTTCACTTTTGATAAGTAGTATTCATGAAATTCACCTTATTATTTTTTTGTGCTCTCAAAATACTTGTTCACACTCGCACTTCCCTTCCCACCACTTTTTGGTGTCACTTATTAGGATTGAGTTTTAGGCTTCTGAAATAATGCAGTTTGGAGCTTTTGTAAAATCAAATCCTTGCTTTGTCCCACAGATTACTGAGGACGATGATGAGGTTTCTTTTCAGATAATGGCCTATAAGATTGAGTTCCTGAAGGTGTTGGAGGCTTAATGGGAACGTTGATGTCCAAAGAAGGTGATACCTTAGTCACTAGTTGACTGAGAATTTTGGAGGATTGAGTCTGAGAAATTATTGGACTTGGACTCTTTCCTTCTTTCTTTTTGAGCATCTAAAAGTATTTCTGAATTGCTGCATTCACTTCTGAGTTGCTAAGTTTCTTGGCCGACTATTCTCGATTCGGCTGAATTTTTTATAGCAAATTACTTTTCGAGAGATTGAAATCCATTTAATATCGTTGTTGTTTCATATATTTTAAATTTAAGGTAACCTTATTGAAAGGTTAACCTATGATTTATGAATAATATTGCTCAACTTCTTGACATTATGATCCTATTGTGCATCCTCCATTTGCTACATCATGCGATAATGTAATTATCTTATACGACTTGTAGGTGCATGAAAAATTGTATTTGGAAGTTTGGTAAACTTTGGTGGATTCTATGGATCTTACATGCTTTCAGCCTTCCTTTTGCTTTTCTTCTACTACTTTATGAAATTAAAATCATCATCTATAACTTTACGCACACTTTTTGTTTTCTCCATTGTAATTGAACATTCTTTCTCTTTTCTTGGAGAACCCACTTACAATAATTGTAACATAAAATTGAATTTCTCTTTATTTGAGATTCCTTCTCGTTTGAGTTTTTCATGAAGTCTTTTCCTTTCAATTTGTTCACCCATACGTTTAAATAATCCTTCAATTGTTGGAGGAGTTGAATAAATTTCATCATTCTTTGGCTTGAACAACTTTTGTATGTCAGGATTATGCAAAAGTTGATGAAATGCAACTTCATTCAGATAGTTCTTTGCATTCTAATGACATGCTTAATTGGCTTTTCGAAGAAGCAAACATAAATTCGAGAAGGGTACTTCATATTACCAAGTCTTTTTTTATATAATGAAAAATTATCATACTCGAAGCATTTTGAAAATACGTTCAAGAGTAATTGAGTCTTCATCATCTCGTATGAGATTATAGAGATCTTGTAATTAGTATTAACAATCAGAAGGATATCCATGTAAGTAACATTATGATTTCATTTAGTTTTTTTATTTATGATCCATTTGTGTATGATAGTTGCATTTTTAGATTATATATCATTATTATGATTATGATATAAATATTAATAAATATCAAGTTATGCGTCTTTTACTTGATGTTAGATCAGAGCTTTCAGTTTTCAATCCTCCTGTTTGCATGAAATTGTTATTCATTAATGTAGATCCTTTTTAAGGACTTGTTCTCAAAGAAGTCTGTTACTCTAATCGTTTTTGTAATTTTGATTATCTACTGTCTTCAGATATAATCTTATCTAATGAACGAGATTTCTATTGTTGAATAGAATCTACATTCTTTATATGTTCTTTCAATAATCTTTGTTAATCTGCTATTCGTACATTTTCTCTATAATCAAAGTAAAATTCATCAAAAATTTTAAAATCTTTTTTGAAACCTGCTTTTCCAATCAACTTCTCTCTTACTTCTAAATCTCCTTATTGTAAATTTTTAGTCTCAAAATTCAATTTCTGAATATCAGGTCTAATAGGAGGAGTCACTCTTTTCATAAGAATGTCAGTCAAATTAACCTTTTTGAACCATTTATGTTATAGGATTTCTCTTACTCCTCCTCTAACTCCTAATCTCTTATGAGGATCTTTGGCTAATAAACCAGACATAAGATCTTTAATTTCTTGACTTAGAAATTGTGGAAATGTAACTTATTCATTAAGTATTGAATCATAGATTTTTTGAGTGTTTTTGCTGTAGAAAGGTGGCAAACCTGTAACTAATTCATAAAGTAGAGCTCCAAGACAATAATGATCAACTTATATAGTATGTCCACGTTTGAGTAACATTTCTGGAGCCATGTATTCTGGAGATCCACAAAAACTATAAGCAAACTCATCTGGACTAGTAAGTTTAGAGAGTCCAAAATCAGAGATGCGAATATGTCCATCTAAATCGAGAAGAATATTTTCAGGTTTGATATCACGATACATTATTCCCATTTAATGTAAATATAACATACAAGTGCATATTTCCACAAAGTAAAATTAAGCTTACTCTTCGGACATTCTCTTAAGTGTTTTGAGTTAATAAAAGAGTTCTCCTCCACTACAGAATTCAAGTATGAAAACAATAAAGTTTCGACTCTCAAAAGAGAAAAGCATTTAGATTGTAAAAGGATGATAGATAAATGCCATTATATCTCTTTCATTTTATAGTAATTCTTTATATGATAAATATATAATATACCTGCTTTTTTATACTTTATGATGAACTCTTTGTCTACTAATTTCATGGCATAAAAATGACCATTCATTTTTGATTTCACTAAGTAAACCTTTGAAAATCCACCTGCTCCAATACATTTCAAAATTTGAAAGTCTTTAAGTGAGACATGTTGACCTGTTACTACTGGTTCTTGACATTCTAATTGTAATTCAGGCCAAATGATTGGTCGTTCTTCAAGTGTTAGATAATAATCTATGAGAATGTTATGGTCTATTGTATTTAATGCCACAATCTTGAGTTTTAACTTTTATAAGACAGCAGCGCGTATTTAGGTTGTAGTGATGTTGCGATTGAAAGTAAATCTGAATTACTACTATCCAACATGTACAATGACCAATATAAGATCCATTATCTATGAGTTCTGTAGAGTAGTTTCTCTCTTTACAAATGATCCCTCTTAAGTTGTTTAATTTGTAATTAGCTTTGGTGAGACCATTAACTTCAGTAATTCACTATTCTTTCGAGTTTTGAATGAGAGTTTAGACTTCTCTGGAGACAATTTATGACTGGGGCTTAATGAAGATTTCTAGAGTATCCTAAACCCTTTCTGAGAAATGGACTTGGAGAGATTCATTATTATATTATTATATGATTATAACTAATTGAGAACATATAATGTATTTATTAGATTTATTAAAGTAACACTCTTCAAAAGTCTTCTCTTGTTAATATGGTCTAATTATTATACTAAACATTTACATATATAATTATTCATTAATTATGATTCCTACTCTGCAACCGTCGCAGCAGCTTTAACCAAAATACATCTTTGGATTGAACAGTAATCTACGTAATAACCTCTACTTCATGGATGATACTCGAATTATCTATCCAGCAGGCTTTCATATAGTGTGCTACTCATTACAAGATAAGAGTTAAAGTTACTTTTAAGGATTTGAACATTATAGAGGATTCTCTTGTATGACTCTATCTCCAATGAAGAGATTTCTAGCAGCAGGAGTGAAAGGAGAAAAACCAGCTATTCAAATTTACGATACGATGTCTTAAAAGAAAAAAAGAACATTAATCTATCATGATGCTCCAGTTAAAGAATGGGTATCTGTAGCATTTGGACCAAATGCAGAAGCAAAAACTTTGATTGGATTAAGTGGAGGAGTCTCTGTGAATGGAAGTCCTGTAGATTCATATTTATGTTACTTTCAAACTGATACAATGAAATGTTTAGCTTCTGTTAAAGTGGCTTCTGGAAATAATGAATGTTTAGAAGTAGCCTTTTAACCTAATGATGCTACATTCATCACTGTGATAGGAAAAGGAATTTTCAAATCATATAAAATGATTCAAAATGAAGGTGAAACAAAAAGTTATACTCTAAAATAAGTGGCAGCATCATTATAAAAAGCACCTGCTGATTTATCAAATAATTATTGTTGTCATAGTTGGATGATATAACATCCAGATCATTTAGTTGTATGCACATAATTGGGAGAAGTATTTCTTTGTGATGAAAATGCTGAATATGTTAAATATTTAAAGAATCCTTATCATTAAAATAAACAACCTTTTTTGATTGAAGTGATTTAAGCAATGCAATAAGGATTTGCAATTGGAGGAGACAATTCAACTATTTATATATATAGTAAAGAATATGAAAATATCTAAATGCTTCATGTGAAATCAATTTCAGATATCAAATGTTAAATCAAAGGAATCAGTTTTACTCCCATTAGTGAAGATACAATAATAGTAACATTGTCGAGCAATTTAATTTATAGTCTAAAATTAAAAACAGAATAATTCTTAGAAGAATAATAATAATTTGAATTAGTTTCATTACCATTTCATTCATGTCCTCCAGTAAATGCTGGTATTCCAATTAATGGTATGGATGTTTGTGTACGAAAACCATTGATAGTAACATGTGGAGCAGACAAATATATTCGTATATGGAATTATGAAGAGAAAAGTATGGAAGCATATAGATTCTTTAATGAAGAAGCTTATTGTGTAAGTATACATCCATCAGGATTTCATATAGTTGTAGGATTAACAGATAGATTAAGATTGATGAATGTTTGTGTTCATAATAATTAAATAAAACACTATAGAGAAATAGGTTAATTCAAATAATGTAAAGAAATTAAATTCTCTAATGGAGGATAATATTTTGCTGCTGTAAATGCTGCTAACACTACTTAACATATAATTCATATTTATAGATTTTATGTTGGAGATAATCCTGCTAATCTATAATTTAAAGGTCATAGTGGTAGAATAAGATGTATTACTTGGAGTAGAGATGATACAATTTTAGCTACTTGTGGTTAAGATGGTTTGATATCATTATGGAAAGTAGGTGCTGACACAACTGGATAAAGAATGCTTGATATACATGCTAAAGCAAATGGCAAGAATATACCATAGTCAAGTGTTGCTTTGACATTTGATACTAAAATTGTTTATGTGGTTGGAGAGGATCGTCATTTAAGAGAATTTAATTGTTAAGAACCAACAGAAAATAAAAGAAATGTAGAAGCAACATTATCTTAAATTTGTTTTTCAAGTAGTAATAAAATATTATTTGCTGGTGTTTGTGATGAAAATAGATATTCTGGAGCTGTAAGATGTTATAAATATCCTTTTGTTGGTCCATCTGCTGGAACTAATGTTGAATATTAAGCTCATGATGAAAGAGGTATAGAGAAAATGAAAATTACTGCTGATGATCAATATCTTATTACTGCTGGTAGAGATGGAGCCATTATAGTTTTTGAAATTAAGGATAAAGATGCTAGAGGATAAAAAAATAAAGAAGGATATTAATAAAGATATGCAGATGATATAATTGTTACTAAAGAAGATAAGGCAGATCTCAAAACTACAAGAGATAATCTTAAAACATAATTATAAGATATTACTGCTCCATAAAATGCTATTAATATTTCATCAAAGGAGGATTAAATTAAATAATTAACTGATAAAGAATCTACTTTGAAATAATAATATAAGGTAGCCTATGACACATTAGTAGAAAAGAAGAGGGAAACAGAAAAACATATTCAAGAAACTAGAAAATAAATAATGGAAGAATTTGAAGCTGAAATATAAGAATTAGAATAAAATCAATAAAGTAAAGTTAATAAGGAAGCAGAGAAGTATGAAAAAACTAAAAATGAAAAAGAAATTCATTAAACTAAATATGAAAAGGAAATTGGTAAATTATAAAGGGAACATACAGATGAACTCAAAAAATTAGAAAAAGATTATGATGCTCGTTTACTTGAAGAAAGATAATAGAGAGAAAGAATGGAAAAGGAATATAATAAAGAGAAAGAAAAGTATAGAGAAACAATTGAATAAATTAGAAAGGAGACTATTGGTGAAATTGAAGCACTTGAAGAATAAAATTAATAATAAATACTATAAAAAACTGATTAAGGTCTTAAGGCTAAAAGTGAAGTTAGTATGACAAAAAAGAAAATTTAATCTTTATTACAAGAAGAAGAAAAATAAAATGAAAATCTTAAAGATTATAATGAATAAAAGAAATAATTAGATGATTAAAATCATCAACTTAAAATAGCTATTGAAGAATAATTAAAATAAATATAGGATAAAGATAAAACAATAGGAGAAAAAGAAAGAAAGATATATGAATTAAAAAAGAGATCATAAGAATTAGAAAAGTTTAAGTTTGTTTTAGATCATAAAATTAAAGAACTTAAAAGAGATACTGGACCTAGAGATGAAGAAATTAATAGAATGAAAGAAAAAACAAATATGATGGATTAGAAATTAAAAAATTTTGCTTATTTGAATAATAATTTAGGTAATGTAGTTGATGCTCTTGATTAAGAATTAAAAATTATGAAAACAAATATTAAAAAATAAAGATAATTAATTTCATTTTAAAATGTAAGAATTAAGAAATTTAAAGATTCTGTATATTAAGCTGTTTAATTCATATAAAATTAAGAAGAATTGAAAAATAAAGCTTAAGAAATATTTAAAGAATTCCATAAAGATGATGTAAAACCATAATAAGTCAATGCTGATATTTTAGCAGAATATAAGAGTTAAAAACAATATTTAGAAAAATCAGTTGAAGGATTGAAAGCAAATCTTTAAGCAGATGAAGAAATACATAAAGCTGAAAATATTAGAATAATGAGAGGTAATGTTAAATTGATTATTGAAATTAATAATCTAAGAAAAAAGATGAAGTAAATTAAATCAACTCATAATAATTAAGAATAAAAAGGTGACAAAAAAATGTCTCAAACAGGTATTTTCTAATAATATTATATTAGCTAATTCTGAAAATTAAAAGGCAAAATAAAGAGCTATTTAAGAAAAGTAACTCATAATAGAATAATAGGAATTAGCAAAAAATGCTTTGCTCAATTAAATTTAAGAATTAGAAGCAGAACTTTCTGTAATGGGAGAATGAAAGATTTTATATTAATTATATTTTTAATTTAAATAAATTGATTTATACTATTTATAAATAATTTGAATCTTAATATATATTGAATTTACAAAATCATATAAAATCACTCATATTGATATTACAATCATCTGGAATATTTTTACATGTATAGAATAACATATATGCATTAGTAGATTATACTTTTTCTATTTTAGAAACATTAGAATCATCAAATTCATACCATTAATCTTGTTTTTTTAAATATGCGGTATAATGTGCTAAAATAAATATAATTATTTACTATCATTTCTTTTTCTTTTACTATTTATTACTGCATAAAGATCATATAATACATTTTCTTTTGATTTAAGACATTCATTTATATTTAAGGAATTTAATGGAAAATCTACATATCTTTCAATAAATTCTCCATTACTTTTGTATTTTTATAAATTAAGAATCAAAATTATTGGTGGTTTATTTAAATAAGATTGTTATTTAAAATAATTATTTTATCCGCATAATTTACATTCTAATCTCAATTCAGACTCTTCTGTATATTTTTAAAAACAATCCTTAAGATCAAGATTTTATATTAATCTCTCTTCTGATTCATCTTTTTTTTTCTCTAATATTTTGGTAAATTTTATATCATTCCACTCCAAAATTATTCTTGGTTTTGTAGTTTATTAAAAAATTAACAATATAGGGTCGACTTCACATCCTTAACAATGATAATATGAAATATTTTTTTCAGGTCGTATTTTTTAACAATATAAGCATTTCCTATCTTGATCTAAAACTCTAATTTTATATGGAAATGATATATGGGAAAAAAAATTAATAATTTGCTCTTATTACACAGAATTAGTTTAGAAAGGTGATTAAACGGTAAAGTGATCCTAAAATTAATAATATAGTTACAAAATTTATAAATCTTTATATTTATTTGTAAATATAGACTTTTAATTCAATAAGAGAGAGTTATTAAATTGGTAAATAAACGATGATTGGTTTTAAACCTAACAAATATTACTTTTAAAAACTGTTAAAATAATAATTTAAAACTGGAATTTAAACAAAATTTAATTATTAATTTGAAGTATTCTATCTAAATTATACAATCTTATTTTCTTAAATAAAAACATAACCTAAATTATTATCTTTAAGATGTAATATTTTAAATTAATTAGGTTTTATTTCATCGATTTTACCTTATTTCCAATTCTAACCTGTTTCCTAAAAATCTACTAAATCATTCTTCTAAAAATCTCTAGACTTATAACTAAACATTCTACGAACATTATCAAATTGATTTTATGCATCTTATAAATCTCCCAATTAATATAAAAATATAGTCATATTGGGATTAATACCTAAATCAGTTAATGCTTGATTTTCATTGTTGCTATATATAATTCTCTATATGTCCTTCTTATAAATAATAGCTAATTAATATTTTTCTTTAGAAAGACCAATACAAGCATCTATCTTATTATATAAATCTCTAAATGTAGGAGTATTAATAGTATTATTTGTTATTAAAATAGTTTTTTTAACTAAATCTTTTTCAATAATATTATTTGTTTATTATTATCCATCATACCTAAATAAATTAAGAAAAAAATAAATTCTTAATTTGAAAACTCCACTTTGTTCTTGAACCGTCAAATGAAGTATTTTTTTTAATTCAATTTCACTTTTTATGTTTGGACATTATTAACATGATTTTTCTGTTAAATATTATCCTTGAAAAAGTTTTTCTATGACTGAATTTTAATTGTTTTCATGCTCATTTAATTCTTTTGAAATAACTGTTAATAAATCATCTAAAAATTCATCTGCATCTTGTGCTTAATATTTTCTAAATTTAGGTAAGATTTTAATTAAAACATTTTAAAAATTTTAAGGAGATATTGATGTTTCATTTGTTCTAGTTAATTCTTGTGTTAAAGAACTCAGTTCCTTTGTCAAAGAATTATTAGCTGTAATAAAACGTTTATACCGTTCATTAATAAGAAAATTACTAAAATATTAAGTAGTTATTAAACATTATAATGCAGCATTCATATAACAAGTATTACCAAGATTTTATAAACCAGGATATTTAATTTATTTAGATATAGCTTAGTTTATTGTACTCTACAAACCCATGGGAGATTATTTTATTTCTATTTAAAAATCATCTAAAGAGCTTTATCCTTCGATATGCAAAATAACAAAATTAAGAGATTCAGAAAATCTTTATACTAAACACATCTTTTCAATATTAGTAGATGGATCTGTAATTAAGATTTTTTATCCTAATTTCCAGTAAGAAACCTATGAAACAGGTTTTTTTTTAAGTTTAGTCATTGTGAAAAATGTACCAGATGTAATATTTAGACTTATGATATCAGAATCTAAATCTAAAATACATTACCAATCTTCATTAATTTTCATCATATATAATAGATATTCTTAATACTTATTTGTAGAAATTTGAAATTTCTTAAACAATTTTTTTCTTACATCATGCATTGTAGAATATTCATACATTTTAAATCTAAAACAATTTTTATATTAAACTTTTCCATTTTCATCTGTTTCAAAACCTTATATAATTGTAGGATATAATTCTATTGTAAGTTTATCATTAATTGTTTCACACTTTCTCTTGAATTCAAGTCTTTTATCTATAATACCATACCATCTCATTAAATTATTCCAAGCTTCTTATCCAACAGTTTCATAATCACGACCTTTAATTAATTATACTTTCAATTCTCCCTCATATTCACCATCTATGTCTCTATTATCAATTGGTCCAGGTCTTTCTAACCATTATTAAGGACTGATTTCAATAAATTCTTATGATAATTCATATATGTTTTAATCATTTGGTTATTCAGGATTTGCAATTGTTCTATTAACATATTGTTTCCACTAATCCCACCATTTAGAACTTATAATATAAATTTTATCAAAAACAATTTAATCTTTCTACTCTTCAATTATTCTTTTTTCTTCATATGGTCTTTAAAAAATTTTGAAAAAAAAAGTCTAACTTAAATTCAGATTCTAATCTCCCCATGTAGTAAACTAAATTATTTTATCAAATTTTTAGAATCTATTTATATTACAATTTAATAAATTTTAATTCTCCTCCACAAACAATTTAAATTCATTTTAATCTAACTTCTTATTTTAATCTAGATCATATAAATTAAAGAGTAGTTCTATTTAGTCAAGTTTTCCTTAATTTAAAAATTTACTAATTATAAAACAAATTCCTTATAAATCAATCTGATCTTCATTTTCCAACTTAAAATACATTAATAGTCTATATAATAGTTCTTTATATATTTTAGACTTTACTTGGTTGAATGTTAGGTAATAAAACCTGTAATTATTCTAAATTTAATCCAGCATTTGGTTTTAAGGCATAATATCTTTGTTCTAAGGCTTTTAGGAATTAGTTTGAAAAAATTGCCTTTGATTTAAATGTTGCTTCTGGTTTACTTTAAAATTTTGTAAATTTGAATCTATATTACTCAAACTTTTTATTTTTTTTGCAACAAATGAATCCTCCCATTTTATACAAAAATAATTAGAAATTATTTTTTTATTAAGCTTTAAATATATATATGTTCAGAAAATTATTTTGTGGGTTTTGTAATTAAGTGCAATCGATAAGCACTTTTTATTAATTGCAAAATATCATGAATCCACCTACTCCTGAAAATTATCAAAGATTGTTACTCACAGTTTAATAGTTGATTCAATCTAAACCTATTAATTGGAAATTTGTGCATAGACTTTAATAATTGCAAGAATAATTTAATTTAGAATTAGATATGCCATATCTACTTTCAAAGATTAAAGATCAACCTATTGATCCCTAAAAGCAATAATTTGTGATTGATATCATGTAATAATATTTTACTACAGATCAAGAATTATTTAAGGATCTATTTAATTAATTATTAAGAATGGATAATTTACTCTTTTCAACTTAATTAAAAATGTTGTAGACATATTTTTAATATCCAGAATTCTTTGATTAAGATAAAGTATTACCAAATTTAATATAAAATATGATTACTTAAAATGATTTGGAAGCTTATGATTTAGTAAATGCATTTTAAGTATTTACATTTAATTATCCCTAATTAACTGAATAGAATAGATAATTGCTTAATGATCTAAAGAATTAAATGAATCAATAAATAATAAAAATAATTCCAGCTTTAGGATAAAAATAATATAGATAATTGTTACATATTTTGAGATCTAATGATTATCAAAATGAAGAATTAAAATAAGCTGTGTTCTAATATTTCTATGAAAATAAAGATATCCTTGGATAAACTTCATTAATAGAATTGTTAAATCTATGCAATCTTAAATTCTATTTTAATGAAGAACTCAAATATTAAATTTTATTGTATATCAATTTATTGAAAGTAAAAGGAATAAATGAATCAAAATTAATCAACAAATTTGTGTTGCCATCAGTAATACTTTATAGTTGACTATTAGATATCTATAGCTGAACAAGAGATGATGGCAAATCTTATAACTTTGTCAGGTATACAGTTAGATAAGGAGTATATAAATACTCATTATACAGGTAGTAATTCTTAGAAAAGAGAAAAACTTGAATAACTTGAAAATAAGGATCAGGAAATATAATAAATGGTTAAAGAATTATTGAAATATATAGATGGTTAATTTAATTCATTCTTAAAGTAATTATTATTGATATTTTTAGTGTTATAAGAATAATTTAAACTTTTGGTTTATCACTCCCAGAATTACTTTAACCTATGATGGAAGAATTAAAAAAAATATTAGTTAAACAAATTGTTAATCCAACTGATCTATTAGCAATATTGAATTATTTTGATGATTGCAACATATTATTTGATTAAGAAGATTCTAAAGGAATTTAACATTTCTAAAATTATTTAAATTAAGATTTCTTTTCTTATTAGAAAATTCATTATTTATAAAGATAATTTGCCTACAAAAAGAATTAAAATTAAATACGTTAATTATTAGACAAGAGTTATAACAGTGGTTGGACATTAGAATTGTGTTCAAGATAAGCATTGATCTATGATTATTATAATATACCATTAACTAAGGCTTTTCATGATAAATTTTAATCAGTTATTGAAGATTATGTTTTAAAAAAAAGAACTCCTTTTGATTAACTAGTATTTTTTAAGTAAATTGTAATAGCTAATTGGACTAAACATCTTAAATAGGAATATAAAAATTATTATAATGAAGGATAGAATGGAATTTAGAGAATGAGAAGAGAAAAAACTAAGAATTTAGATTAATCTTCATTTCTTGAATAAGAAATAAAAAATGATATATTACAGTATATGCCGAATACATTTAAATTATTATCTAATTAATATGTTAATGGGACAGAAATTGATTTCATAATTATAAATTAAAAAGGAGAAAAATTATATATCTAAATTCATGGTCAGACTCATTTTTATCATGCATCTAATATCTACAATTACTAAACATAATTAGAAACATTTTATTTAGAAAAATTAGGTAATTATAGGGCTATTCATTTTTATTAAACAGAAACATTGTGGAAACATCAAAAAGAATAAGCAGTTCAAAAATTATTAAGTTGTTTAATGTGAATAATATTAAATTTATAGGCGAGAATTTATAATATTTTATTTATTATCTCATTTAATTGGAAATACTGTTGTAGCCTTTCTTTTTAAAAAGTGTCTTACACTATGTCTAACTTATTCTAAATATGATTTATTTTATTTAACATCTTCTTCTTCAATTAAGGAATTTTTAAATAGACGTATAAATTCATATGGAAATAATAGATATTTTGAATACTTATTTAATAACTAATTTAATAATTCTGTGTTATTTTTTCTTATAGGCCTCATCAATTTAGTGATAACTCTATCAATATTCCATTCCCTATCAAATTTATCATATTCTTTAAGTTATTCAAATCCTGTTATTTCAGTTAAGCCTAATTCTCCTTCAAGCTTTTTAATAAGAAAGAAACACTTCTCATATTCATAATTTGACAATTTAGGTAGAATATATTATAATTTATTTAATGTTTCTTAACAATCTCCTGGTTTTTCAGAAAGAACTGTTTAATCACTTTATTTATTGGTTGTTCCAGATAATAAAAGTTTTTTTTCTCTTTTATTTTTAAAACTATCTAAAATCTAAGTTTATTATAATATGCTAGTTCTTTGCATAAATTTAGCAGGATTAAATGAAGTTTCAACTAACCATTCTGGAGGATTTAATTATGCATGTTAATCTTCAAAAGTAACAACATTAATTTTAGGTTGTCCATTTTAATGAATACTTAATCCTTAACTTTATTATTCTTGTATTTCATTTTCAGGAACTATATCATTTTCTAATTAATATATTTTAGCACTATCTTATATCAATATTTATTCATTTAATGCAGAAAATCTTGTTTTATTTTTTTTTGTATTTTTTAATTTGCGTCTTCCTTAAATATTGTTAAAATGATATCTCATTATGACCTTCTCGATATCAGGTATATAATGAACAACATTACATTAATTAGTAAAATGTCTTTTATCATGACAGATATAACAAAATTTTTCAGGTATGATTTGTAATTGGAAATTGTTAATTACTTTTAGAACTTCAGAACGAGGTATCATTAATAGACTCGAGAAATCAGCAGATTTATAATTTATTTTGTCACTTTAAGTAAAGAGTTCTTGTAAACCAAAAAATTAATTCTCTTTTAATGTGTCAATTACAATCTAAAATATTTATAATCAAACCTTATCTTGCATTACTTCAATCTTTCCATTTTCTATTATATAAATATATTCCTATGGATTTATATGAACTCCTGGTTAAAAGACATTAAATTCAGTACTTTAAAGTAAACATTCTAAAGCAGGTTTAGGAAACTATGAAAAATATGGACATTTAATAATTAAAGAAGAAGCTGATTCTAACTTTAATTTTAATTGTAAATCTTCAGGTAATAATGTTATAAGTCTTATTTATTCATTTTTTTTTTAAATAATTTCTTAATTCCAATAAAAATTAAAATATTCTCTTACCTTCATTGAAAGTTCAGTACTTAATTTTTTACAATGCAAATATTCATTAATGCAAGTCATCTTTTATCTAATCATTTCATTATTTTCTTTCATTTGAGTAAGTATTAATCCAATAGTATTGACAGAATAAGAATATTGTAAAGTGGATAAAAACATATAACAAATACAAAACATCTTTTCAAGTGAATCTAATAATTATATAGATATATATATATACTTGTAGGTGTGATATCTCCATATCCTACAGTAAACATAGTTACACTCATAAAATAAAATGATTCAAGAAATTATACTTACCAACTTTCATTTTTTACATCCATCATCCAATTCATTTTACCTTAATTATCATAATACTATCCTAATTTTAACCTAAGGAAATATTTAATTAATTTTTATACCATAAACAACCACAAAAATGTTATATTAATAATACTGTTGCTATTAATTTGAATAAATCTATTACAGAACTTACCATTTTTGTGGGTTTTAAATTATATTGAATAATATCAACTAATTTCATTATATTTCTCAATTAATAATAAAATAACATAAAAAACCATGTACTTAATTAATAATCTAAAGATACAAGGATACCAAATAAAATACTGCCTAATTCTATTCCTAAACCAATATTAAGTTGTTTTTTAAATAATTAAGATCTATCTTTAACTGGTAATCCTTTATGAAAATATATAGTAAAGTTTCTTATCAATAAATCAAATGCAAGAAATACACAACTAATTAAAAAATAATTTGAATGATCATTCTACAAAAATGGAAATGATATAATGATAGGTGACCAGATTATCAAATAAATACGAATTAAACAAAGCAAAAAATCCCAGATTAATTTCATAATATTATTTGGTTCTATTAATGGAATATAATTATATAATTGAGAAAAGCATCCAGATAATTTATTTACTATACCATTTTTCCATGTTCTTAATTTAAGTCTTATCTATAAATCTATTGTATTCAAATTTTATTGTAGAAAATTACCACTTATCTTTCCTTTCTATTACATGTATGAACTTGCTTAATCATTTAATATTTCATGTTATTTTTGAGAAAATTTACAATCTGGTCTTATAAAGCTAATCATTTTGTTAGCAAACTTTAATGAATGACAATTAATAATCAATTTAGCAAATGGTGATTTCTTTTATATCAGTATAGCTTAGTGTTCTCTTTATTTATCAATTGATAATATTCCTTCAGATTCTGGTAAATCTGGTGGTTATAATGATTCAAGTGGAATTGAATTGATTCTCATTGTTGTCCTACTAAATTTTTATGCAGAAACCAATTGCTAAGTTGTTGAAATACCTGGATTAGAATTTTCTACCTTCATAGGACTCATTTCTGAAATTGAATTATCTAATCCCTTAGAGTTTATCTCATGTTCTGTCTAAGGTGATATCAATTTGCATTTGCTAATTGTTGTATACTACATTTTAATTAAATTATATATCTCAGGATACTAGATTAAAATAATTGACTTATTCTACAGTTGTGCATATTAAAAAATAACATAATATCTATCAAGCAAAAAAGATCAAATAATTATGTATTTATGATATAATATATTATTTTACTTATTTAATATATCTTTAAGAATCAACTTAGAAATATATATATTTAATTTATAAATATTTATATATCTACTTAATCAAATTTTTGAGAAACATAATTTAAAAATTCTTAACCTTTGTTGTGACTTAATTTTAAATTTGATTATCAAAATTAATTATAAAATTATTTAATGTAAAATCCATTAAAAAAAAGTCGAACATTTTTAAGAAGAAAAACAGATTTATTAAGAGATTATTTAACAGGAGGAACTGCTCTCTTATTATTTGGATTATTTATCTCATTTCAATATAAGAAAATCAATCCACCTGATCCTGTAGATGAACCATAATGTATAAATTAACAAATTATCAAGATAGTCAGGATTACAATATTCTAGATTTTGTACAAGATAAAATAAGAAAAATTACAAATATTAAATACAATTAAATTCAAGATGAAAAACAGAAATAATCTGTTCAAAAAAAAAATGCATAATGAGATTATTTATTAAAATAAAAATATTGTTTCATTTTTTTAAGTTTCTATTTAAATATAATAAAAGGCTATATAGTAATATTCTACTCTCATTTAGACTTAATAATTAATAAAATTATAATTTAAGTTTGTTCTATTGTCTTAAATAACTTAGAGTAGAGATAAAATAAAGAAAAATAATAATATACAATAAATTAAATAAAAAGAGTTAAAAATGAGTTTAAATAACAAGCTTAAATTTTGATTAAATCTAAAAAGGATAGCAATATTTTATTGTATAGAATTCTTTAGAAAAAACAAAAAAAGGTACCCTAATTTTAAATGTAAATTCTTTTAAAACTCCACCAAAACTTTTTATTTTGTGATAGGTATTATTATTTATCCTAAAACCTATATATGTATTTGAATAATAAAAATATAAGGGTTATTAGAATTGTTAAATTTATTAATTAATAGATATTTGTGATACTATTAATTAATATAGAAATCTTACAATTATGATGGATAGATTTCTTTAAATAAATTCTTTTTTACATAATCCATAATTTATGATAAAAAAAATGCAATAAGATTGATGATAATATATCTATTAATCAATAAATTATAAGGATTAAAAAAATGAATTAAAACCAGAATCATTTTTTAATTATTTGATAATTGAATTTCTTGTTACTATGCATATGAGTAGTTATTATAATTTTAATTATACTTAGATTTCTGAATTTATTTGTATCTTTATATAAAGATAAATATTGGTTTTACTATATGATCTATTTTATATGCATTTCTAATATTAAGTTTTGTGCCAAACTCTTTGCAATTTGATTTGAAAAGTCAATTTCTATCTTTTGTTAAATATTCTCTTGAATCCTATAATTTAACTTAATAGAAAAGATTACATAATAGCAATTTATTTTTGTAAAAATCTGTATTTTAATTGATAAAAATCAGGATGTAACATAAATAACTAATTTAAGAATTAGCACTGTTTTTATTTATAGGATACATATCATTGATTAATTTCATACTTTTCTCTCTTTTTTTTAATTATTTATATTTATTAGATAATAATAAAAAAAATTAATTTTATTTTATTGCTAATATATTTTCAATTTCAGAAATTAACGTTTTAGTTGACTTGTTAGTTATTGAGATTATTATTAATAAGCAAAATTATTATCTTATTATTGATTTTTACATATACTATATTGCTATGTTAATATTAAAAGTAATAAAAACTTGATTGTCATTGATATGTTTATTGAGATTATTTAAATTTCATTAATTATGATTGTAATGTATTAGTGTTGTCTGTTTTAAAATGGGATTCTTAAATAAATGTAATTAACAATAAATACTTATGTGAGTCAATAAGCTTTAATAAATTTAAAGCTCGTTTTGCGAGTAGAAATTGGTGAAAAGGTTGTAGTTATTAAAATTAATTATAAATGGGGAATTAATGCTGCACAAATCAACTTACAGAGTAAGATCATTGAATGATTTTAATAGAGCAGATAAATAGATAGAGACAAAGCCTGAGGATATGAGCAAGTTAATTTAATAATCGTCTAAGAATGAGGAAGAACCTTTAAAATAAATAACATGTAAGAAGAAGTGATAATTTGAGCAATACCTACTTTATCTGTGTAGCCATCGTTGTTTATTTAGATGAAGAGGGAAACTATTTATGGTACTTATTAAGTGGGAAAGTTATTGGGAGAAGGTAAAATTAATTGTAAAAGTAGGTGCTTATGGACAAGTATCAATAGTGACTCATAGAGTGACAGGAATGTAAAGGGCAATGAAAGCAATTCGAAAGGATTGTTTATTTGAGGAAGAATAGGCAAAATTATTTTCAGAGATGACAATATTGAAAAATCTTGATCATCCACACATAGTGAATTTATTTGAGCTATTTGAGGATGATAAATTTTATTATTTAATAACAGAGTATTTAATAAGATATTTATAGATAGATATTTACGTGGAGGGGAATTATTTGATCGTATTCAGAAAGCTAAGACTTTCAGTGAAGCAGATGCAGCTAGATATATGAAATAAGTGATGTAGGCAGTGTGTTATTGTCATTCTAAGAATATAGTTCATAGAGATTTGAAACCTGAGAATATTATATTCGCTAGTGAAGATCAATATTCAATCTTAAAAGTGATTGATTTTGGAACATCTAGAAAATTTGAACATAATTAGAATATGTCTAAAAGATTAGGAACGGTATATTATTTATTATTATTATTGTAATAGCCATATTATATTGCTCCAGAAGTTTTACAGAAAAAATATAATGAGAAATGTGATGTATGGTCATGTGGAGTCATTCTTTACATTTTATTGGCTGGATATCCACCATTTTATGGAAGGAATGAAAGTGAGATCTTTGATAGAATTTTAAAGGGCAAAATTCCATTTCATAGTAATTTATTTTAATTATGAAGCTACCGAATGGAATAAGATATCTAAAGAAGCAAAGAATTTAATAACAAATATGTTGTGTTTGGATGTAGAGAAAAGATATTCTGCTTAATAAGTATTTGATGATCCTTGGTTATAATAAGGATAAGGAGCAAATTTGATTGATGATAATTTTCTTAAGAATTTAACAGAATTCAGTGCAAAAAGTAAATTAAAATAAGCTTTATTAACATTCATGGCTAGTCAAATGATTCAACCAAAAGAAGTTGAATAAATATAAGAATTATTTAAATAATTAGATAGAAATGGTGATGGTAAATTATCTAAAGATGAATTGATTACAGCATTCTAATAAAAAGTATAAAGTGGAGATAGATTAATTGAAAATATGGAAATTAAAATAAATAAAATTGTTACAGAAATAGATGTTAATATGTCTGGATATATTGATTATACTGAATTCATTGTAGCTTGTTTAAAATATGAAAAATTATTGACAATAGAAAAAATCAAATAAACATTCAAAATCTTTGATATTGTATAATAGTAGTTTAATTTATTATTTAGGATGGTGATAATTATATTTCCAAAGAAGAATTATAACATATAATGGAAGGTGTAGATGATGATATATGGAAATAATTCTTAGCAGAATGTGATCAAGATAATGATGGTAAAATATCAGAAGAAGAATTCATCAATCTTTTATCAGATAAATTTTGATATTTTCAAAAATCATGAATAATCTCTATATCTGCTGCTTCTGCCATACTTTCTATTGATGATTCATCTTATCCTCTTTTCATTCTAAATCTACCATTCTCTCCCCATTGTTTACCCCAACTATTCTATAGTAACCAATATTTAATGCCATTCTCTTCTCCCCAACCGTAACATAATACTGAATGATCAACTTTTTCCTTTTTATATTAATTTTATCTATAATACCCATTCTGGTTTTGCTAATCCATTGATAATCCAATCAGGAATTGTGGAATGAAAGACACCTCCAACATAGAACATGAAATCAAAAGATGGTTCAAAATTCAAAACCACTGGTCCATTCTTATAGATCTCTTCCATTATGTTTAATTCATTTGATTTACCATAAGCTCCCCCAATAAATCTATAATTAATAACTCTAAACTTTTTCTTTTTCTCAATTGCTTTGCATGTACCTACCTATCCTTTATAAGGATATTCTTTTTCTTCAAAAATCATACCATCCAATTCTGTTAAGTATTTCTCAACCAAAAATGGATAACCACCATCACAACCTTAATTGTAATAATTGCAATCTATAGATTGTTAAGGTGATAAATCAACTTTCAATCCTTTTATTCTTAATCTAGCAGATAACATAGTCATAGTTGAAATAGTATAACATGATCCACATCCTTTTTATTCATATATTTTCTTTCCTAAATATTTTTCCCATGAAAATTCTTTAGGCAAATGACTTAAATCATATTCTAATAATTATTATTTTTTTTTTTATTTCTCCAATAAAATAGTTGATGAATGTTTTCTTCTTCCTGCATACTTATTCAACTACTTTGTTGTCAATCCAATTATTTCTCCATATGCCTTTGCTTTCCATTATAAATTTGCTCTATTAATCTACTCAACAAAATTTAATGCATCAATCCTAGACCAAATCTTATTCACTCCTGAATTTTAATATTAAAAGAATTAAGGTTGAACAACATGTCCATTATTAGCACCTTCTGATACTTTGTGAGTCTTCTCTATTTTATATGCTCTATAACATCCTCTTTCATTTGTCTCTGTATTCTAATACCATCCAATCAAAGTCTCTCCACAATATGAATAAGCACCAGAATAATTTGTCTTGTATTTTGAAAAAGCAAAACATTTGTAATGTGAAAAATCAACCTCAAATCCTTCATCATACACCATTGTCCATTTGCCTTACAATTTCTTCTTTTATACAACATTGTTTTTAGCAGTTAATATAACTTCATGTGTAAAAGCCTTCTTAAATGTATTCTATCCTGCAATTTATGATGTACGTTCATTATCAGGTACATTATGACCACATGTCAATGGTCCACTGCCTAGGTGAATCTATCAATTTACCTTTAATTTATGGTTCTGTGAACTCTAATTGCCATTTCCCTACAATTTAATGACGAACACAATGTACTGGCAAATCTGCATGAACACTCAGAACTAATAAAAAGACTAATAACATAATTAATTCGTTTTTTTAATTGATTTCAAATACATAATTATAATGGCTAATTCAAAAATTTCTTTAAATTTTCTAGTCCTGGTATATCAATCTGAGTCTCATTCATAAATTCTACATCATCTGTTTAATCCTACCAATACTTCAAATTCTCATGAATTTACTCTAAACATACTTGTGTCAACCTTTCACTATGCAGAGTTAGACTATCATGTACTTCTGCAATAAAGTAACAAATGCATTAAACATCGGCAAAACAATAGCTTTTAGAAATCCCTCTTAAGATTTGTAGATACACTATTTTCTGTCACACATTGGTGATACAGGTACTTTCAAATATGATTCTAAATCTCCTTATAAAAAGAATTCCTCAATTATTCTACGACTCCATAATTTATGTATTTTTAATTATTTTGCTCCATGACCAACATCTTATATGAAGGTTTAATTGATACCTGCACATTTAATACATATAGACATTAACAAATGTTTATCTATGTCTTATGTTTCTGTTAATTCTAAATAATTTTAGAATCTATTCATTAATTGAAAATGTCTTGTAAGATCTGTATCCAAAATTAAATTAAGACAATATTTTCTAAATCCTTTTTATTCAACCTATCCTAAATTCTAGATAATGTTGAATTAATCTTATGATATAATTTAAAACAATAAAAAAGAATGATAATTTTCAAGTACACTTTAATCATTATCTAACATATTTATATAAATACATAACAAAGCTAATTTACATCTGTTAGTCATCATAAATCCATTATTTAAACCTGGATGTCCTATATCATGTACCATAGATGAAATTATCAAACAAGCTTATTCGAATTCATCTAATAATTCATTTAAACCATTTTCCAAAAAAAATGCAGTTGAATTTGTTACATCTAATGCATGCATAGAATTATGATATAGATTATTATGATAAGACATGTCAACTTTAAGTGCAAATTCTCCAATTAATTCAGATTTATTTATCTTAAAAGTTTGTGCAATTTTAAATCTCTTGAAAAAATTTATTGTATTCTCAAAAAAGATTTTTGTTTGCATATTATCCTAAAGTTTATTTCTACAATATTGTAAAAAATTTGCATTAAAATCTATAATCTCCAATTCTTCCTCTTAAACTTTATCCTAGTAATCTTATATATATTCAAATGATGTTTATTTCTGTGTAAAATGAGATAATAAAAATCTATCCAATAATATAGGTATCATTACTATTTAGCATCAACACTGAATCCTTCTTATTCATTAATTAATTAATTGCTTCTTAAAAATTTTGGAAGCCAGATTGATTCTTTTTTCCCTGATAGTAAGTTCAATAAATCATCTATATCTTCTGTTGTTATTTTAAATTCTTCTATATTCTTTTCAGAAAAGGATGGACTATTAGTATTTTCATTGATTCTAAAATTTTAATCAGTTGCACTTGTCATAAGTCTTTAAGATTTTCTTGTAAATTGTGGAGGATGATTATCATTTTATATATTCTAAAAATTATTGTTTGATATATCTTATTAAATTGAACTTTATTCATCTTAAATATAATCTTCAGGTAATTATTTAAGTGAGAAAGCATTTTAATGAATTTCTGAATTCATTTTTTTTGGTTTTCGAATTCCTTTTTGAAAAGTATTATTTTTAATTAATAGTTGTTGATATTTGATTAATCTTAATTTTTTTAATAAATCATTTGCTCTAGAAGATAATTATTATTAAGCTTCACATTCCTAATAATCTTACAATTTCATAATTTATTCATTATAATATTGTTTCATTAAATCTAACTCTTTGACAAAATCTGCCATCTTGTTATCTTAATCTTTCTTTAAATAATGAACTCTCCATAGATTTCCTTCAATTGATATTAAAGCAATAACAAAATACTTGATTATTTGAAATACTTGATTTTGAAAATATATTTAGGTAATTAAGAATATCAATGATATTGAATAAGTAAATTCACGAATATAAATGAATTAATATCTAATTGAAATCAGTATCAAGAAAGCAATTGTGATTAGATAATTTTGACAATGCTAGTTGCTTTATAAATATTGTTATTCAAAAATACCTTTATTCTTAATATACAAAAATAAGATTGCTGATTAATTGGATACTTATTCCTAAATAAACTAAAATGTTAGCATTATCTTATTTCGTATTTCTTATATTGTTAACTATAATGAAGATTAGAATGACTCTGAGACTAATATAATACTCTTGAAAATCAGTGGATTCTATCAATGGCCAAATGACTAATATAGATAGGAGAAGAAAAGCATCTAAAGGTTTAGTTTAATTAATATTGGACTCTTTGGAAAAGATCTAAGAAAACTTATCTTTGATTTGATCATGGATTTCAGAATTCATAAAATTTAGATAAATATTATTTTTAATTATTTCTAATATTCAATACATCTTTTCTAGATACATCAATCCTTCTTTAAGACATATGATTATCCATTCTATATTTGGTCTATTTTAAGGTTCAGGATGAAGACATTTAATAGCTAAATTACGAAGACATTTCATTAGATGCTTAGGTCCAAATGTTTTTATAAAATCAATGTTAGATCTAATTTAATAAGTCTTAAATTTATATCGTTCTTATAAATTGGAGAGATTACTTTTTTTGAAATCCTCAAATTTAGGAATTAATTCTTACTATGGGGTATTATTCAAATAGAAACTCATACATCAAAATGCCAAATGAGAAAATATCTGATTTATGATCAATTTTAGATTAATTTGATTATGAAGTATTTTATTCTTCAGGTAAAGATTCTGGAGCAGCAAAAGGAAGTGTTCTTCCATCACCTCCTTATATTAAAACCTAATCTCCCTTTTTGTACATAGCTTCTCCAAAATCTGTCAATTTTGCATTATAATGTTTGGCAATCTTTAATAAATATAAAATGAATACCAATATATTACCAGGCTTTAAATCATTGTGAATAACTCCATAATAAGATAAATACCTAAGAGCATGTGCAATTTAGAATAGTATATATAGTCTTGTGTTCAAACTCTAAGTTGTCTAGAATTTTGATCTGAAATTGTCCAATGATGTATGCTAATAGAATTCCATAAATAAATGTTCATTAAATAAAGGCATATTGTTCTTATCAACAGTATCTGCTTTATAGAATTATGCAATATATGGACAATATCCATTGAAAATTAATTTCTATTTATCATATAAAGGTTAAGACAATATTTCGCTAAAAATTTTAGATAAATTTTATACAGTATTTTTTTTTCTTAAACAATTCTACTTTGTAAAAATTTCTTTTCTCCCTTTTCATTCTATTAAACTACTTTATCCTTCTCTCTATCCTTATCTTTTTTAATTACTATAGTCCTTTTTGTAAAAGTCTGTATTTCATTTTAATCTGAATTATTAACAGGCTATATTTATTTTAATACTCCTGTAGGTTCTTCTGTTTCTACCTTCTATGTATTAGTTCCAGAATTTTAAACAAGAGTAAAAGCCAATTAACCTTTTTTAACTATTGAAAATCCTCCCTCTCCTATTAATTCATATCCTTCACCATTATCTACTTGATCAGGATTAGAAAATTATATTGAATTCATTATCTTAAATGATGGATTTGGTTATTTTGCATAATTAAAATGTTATTAGAATAATCGAGTATCTTCTTCTGTTATTGGTGTGGTGCATTTACTAAATTAAAATTATTTTTTTACTTCTAAATTATATCATTGATTCTTTGTAGATATATGTCAAATTAAGGGGGAATTTTACGATACTGATCTTACAATTTTTATTCTAAAAATGGAAAGACTTTGTATGATAATTTATTTATTAAATGCATTAATCTATATATGTGATATCCAATTGCATAATGGGATGTGAAATGTAGTACTTTTAATAGACTTGACAATGATCCTTAATTTTAGCCATCTGTCTAAATAGGATATAAACATATTAAGTCTGTCCAATGTTCTTAAATCATAACAGAATTTAATTTTAATTATATCTAACCAGTCTCATTTTCTATACAAAAACATCCAAAACGCAATGAATTATTAATTCTACAAAAGTATCTTGCTAATAATCTTTATAGGTACTATAAAAATAATAAAATAAAATATTTACTTTTTCTTTAACTTAAATGAGTTGACCATCAGGTTTAGCAATGAATGATTTACAATCTATACGCTTTCTTAGAAAATTGATTGTTGTTGTACATAATGCTAAGAATTTATTAGAAAACCTAAGGAATTAATATTATATTTTAACTCACTATTCTAGTGTGATTGTGAGTTGCCATTATTTGGTCTCTTCATTTTAGGTGATATCGAAATGTTTAAAATTTAATTCTTCAAAATGTTTTTCAATTTGAGGTCTATTCAAAGCAAATTTTTCAAAATCAGTCTCTTCGACATCATTCAAATCAAGTAATTTAAACTCAATCTCCATATCATCCTCTTTTTACATATTTTTAATATTTATAATTAATTATATATTTTTTTTAACTTTTTGATTAAGGGTATATAATCAAAATATACTCTATTAGAATGAAACAATAAATAAATAGTTAATTTTAAATTGAATTCAATATACTTTATCTAAATATGTCAAACAATCTTTCAAAACTAAAACAATCTTATCAATATTAGGTCTATTTGCAGGTTCTGGTTATAAACCTATAAAATAATAATTATATTTTTACATTATAAACACATTCTTCCTAAATATTTCATTATTACTTAAGGACCTGAAAATTTATCAAAATTTTCATCATATCTTACATAATAGGTTCTGTTTTTTAATTTTTCCTCTAATGTCTTTAAATTTTATCTTCTAAAATCCTAATTATTCATAATTTAATTATTTTACTATTGGATATCTATCAAACAATAATTCAAAAAGTAATACACCAAATGAGTAAATATCATATGCATAAGTATATTCATGTGGTTCTAATTTTTATTAGATTTCAGGTGCACAAAAAGGCAATGTTTTACCTGGTTTTTCTTTATCTGTATATTTCTTTTTAATGATAGCTTCTCCGAAATCTGTAATTTTAGCCATCAAAGTTTTAGATATCAATATATTTGCTGATTTTATATCCATATGTATAATTCCATAATTATGAATATATCTTAAACCCATTGCTATACTATGTGCAATAAATATTCTGGTTGATAAACTTAATACCTCTTATTATTTTGCTTTAAAATAATCTAATGAAGAATGATAATATCTTTCCATCAATAAAATATCATTCCTCTATGGAACATAATAAAATTAAGCAATATATGGACAACATCCAAAAATTTTAAAATATTTAAGTCTAATTTCATTTTAATCTCTAAAAATAAATTAAAAATAATTAATACTTGGGTTCAAAGTTTGGTGGGCCACTTAATTTAAGGGCAATGTCAATTTCTTTTTTAACTTTATCTCCATTTTGAGCTTTATCTGTCTTAATAACAAGAGGTCTTTTTTGTGTCTATTGTTATTTTGCACCATCTTTATAAAGATGATAAAAAATATCTTTTGAATATATATTACAAAAGCCTCCTTCAGAAATTAAAAAATTTTAATCTACTTCTAAATCATTATAATTGACTGGTTCAATTTAAATCAAACATCTACTATCAGTTGTAACTTGCTTTTAAAGTATTGGACCATATTATTCATATTCCTAATTATTAAATTCTAAATGCATATTGCTATTTAAAAAATGATCTAAATAAATACTTTTTAATAACCATCTTAATTCTTTATAGAAGTTATTCAGCATCTTTTGGAAATTTTCTCCAATTAATAAAATTTTGATATTTAATATCATCTTAATATCTAATGTTATCCATATAATTTTCATAAATTCTGAATAATTTAATGTTTATCAAATTTAACATGAATAAAATCCTCATAAAATGAAATCTTAATGAATGAGTTGCAGTAACAATTAAACTATCTAAGTATGCAAAAAATCCAGAAAATTCATCATTAGGTTAAAAGAAAGAAGCATTACTATAACATTAGAGATTAAATCCTATTTAACCATAAACAGGATTTAAAAAGAAACTTCCTACTCTAAGATTATTATTTAATCGCAACATATATCTAGAAACAGAAAGTCTAAGTAGCTTATATTCTTTCATTTTGATACCTTTTAATGAACAATTAGCAATCCATGTTTATTTGTAAAATAAGCATGAACATCTATTTTTTTTTAGTCAAAATCAATCTAAATTTCAAATATAGTGATTAAAATTCCAGTATGAATTTCTAAAGGAAAACTTAACAAATAAACATTCTATTTTATATCTGATTCATTTATATGGCATTGAGGGTATTTTTCATTAATTTCTTATTTTAGTTCTTTTATTTTATTTTTTTATTCTTCTACACTATAGACAAAATTATCTTCATTCTAAGACTCTATCATACTCAAAATTTAATTCTCTTATTCCATTTCATATGAATGCATAATAAATAATATATATTATAAATAATAATTAAAAATCATAAAATTAGAAGTTCATTTGTCTTTTTCAATATAAATTCATTTTTTAAATCAAATATTTACAAGACTTAATCCTCCTATTTCATAGTAGATGAATTCAATAAGATTAGAAGTTCATATATCCTTTTCACTATTTTTTTTATTGGTATGATAAAATATGTATAAGGGTTTATTCTATTATATAATGGAAGTAGAATTCTATAAAAAAGATATATAAATAAACTAAATATTTTAATAAATACCTGAATATATTTGAATTAAATTTCTTTTAATAGATATCTTAATATATCAGTGTTAAAATTTGAGTTAATAAATAAATCAATATATTTGAGTAAAAATTTCTCTTAATACAATTATTAAAGAATTTAATATATGATGAGTAGAAAATAATGCTTATGTGAAGCGTAGATACATAAACTTATAAATAATTGTATAAGTTGTGGTCGTATTGTGTGTTCAGTTGAAGGTGAAGGACCATGTTTATTTTGTGGGAATCAAATTATGAAGAAAGGAGAACTTCTTATTGATGATTCATAATTTCCAGATATGGAATCTAAAACAGCTTATTCAAAAGCTTTGATGCATAAGGATAAACTATTAGATTTTCATAGACGAGATGTACATCAATCAAACATTATTGATGATTAAGCAGATTATTATTAAATAGTAGATGATGTTTGGTAAAATGAAGATATTAGATCATAAGCTGTAATTAAATTGATTTAATAAGCTGATGCTGAATAAACAAATACTGTAAAATAGGTATTAGATTTGTAAACAAGTAAAAATATAATGTTATAAATATAGTGTAATTTAGATTAGAGAAAGAGACTAATGCAAAATAGGCTGATGAATTTAGAGATGAAGCAAAATAATTATTAAAAGAAGCTGAATTAGCAGATAAGAAAAAGAATTAAAATAATTCTAAGACTTCACATCTTGCAGACAATTAAGAATATTAAAAATTATATAATGAAATAATAACAAATTTAAATAATGAAACAAAAAAAGAATCAAAAAAATAGAATAATAAAAATAATAAAAATAATCAGAATACATAATAATTTAAACCAACAAGTTGTCGTGTTTAATTTACAGATGAATATTTTTAAGACTTTTAAAAAGAATTATTAAAAGTTGTAAATTAAGAATAATAATAAGAAGATATATTTGATGAATCATTTTTTAAAGTAGAAGATGGAATTGGGTGTTTGTCTATGCATTAACCATGGGCATAATTGGTTGTTGAAGGATTTAAAAGGATTGAAGGTAGAATGTGGGGAACTAATTATAAAGGTCCTTTATGGATTCATGCAGGTGCAAAATAACCAGAAACAGAATTAATATCAGCTATTGAACATCAATATTCTCAATTGTATAATAATTTGGATAATATACCATAATTTCCAGCACGTTATCCTACAGGAGTATTGATTGGAGTTGTTGATATGGTTGGTTATGTGAGAGCAGCAGAATATAATAAAATGGTACCAAAAGAGAAATAGGAAGAAGGAGACACAGAATTCAAATTTGTTTTTAGAAATCCAAGAAAATTATTAATACCTATATAAATGAGAGGTTCAAATAATATTTTTAAATTGGATGATGATATATTAAAAATTGCAATTAAATAATTGGAAAAAGTACCAGTTAAATGGGGTCCATATTTGATAGATCCAAAAGATGTAGCAAAAGAGGCAATAGGAGAAAAGTAAGTAGATGATACAATGTCTAAGATTTAAGAGTAATTTGTTATAAATAATATAAATGAAATATAGGAGAAATCTATAAATGAATAATAATAAAAAGTTGAAAATTCAATAGTGACAGATTAACCATAATAATAAGAAAAGAGATATTAATAAGTTTAATCTATTGACAGTTAATTTGAAAAGTAATTGGAATGGGGTATACTAATAAAAAATGTGTTAAAAAGAGATTAATTAGTTAGAATGGCAAATTTCTTATCAACTAAGATTAAGAAGTAGAATAATTAAAAGGGAGCACTTAAATTATCATTTATGGCAAAGAATTAATTACCATGTCATGATATTATTACGAATACAATTTCTAATATAACAGGTAATGAAAATCAATATGATAATTGCACAATTCATTTCTTAAAATTAGCAGATAAGAAAATATGTATACAAAATGCAACAGCTTTAATTTTGATTGGTTAAAGTATGGAATTTATGAATAATAATCAATAAATTTTATTATAATAGGGGAAAGTATTTTTAGTAGAAGAGGGATACACATTGAATGGATAATTTAGTAGCGATTAACAAGAGGAAAATGTATTAAAAGACATTAGTTAAGATTATGTATTTAAAACCTGGTTGATATAATTATAATAATGATAAAAATTGCACCTTCTATTTTGACATGTGATTTTTCTATTTTCTATGAGGAATGTGACAAATTATTGAAAATGGGTGTTGATTGGTTACATCTAGATGTAATGGATGGACACTTTGTTCCTAATCTAACTTTTGGACCACCAATTATTAAATGTTTAACAAATAGATTGTAAAATCGGACATTCATTGATTTACATTGTATGATATAAGAACCTAGAAAATGGATAAAAGATCTTTCAAATGCAGGTGGTCATTAAATGACTGTTCATTATGAATCAGATATTGGCAATATTGAAGAATTATCATAAATGATTAAGAATGCAGGTATGAGACCAGCATTAGCATTGAAACCTAAAACATTAATTGATCATACATTAATAGAAATATTTGATAAATAATTATTTGATATGATCTTAATTATGACAGTAGGTATAAAATAACCTAATCAAAAGAACCTGGATTTGGTGGATAAAAATTTATGGCTGATATGTTACCAAAAGTAACTTAACTTAGATAAAGATATCCTAAAATTGATATCTAAGTTGATGGTGGTGTGAATTGTGACAATGTTATTAGTTGTTATGAGGCAGGTGCTAATGTAATTGTATCTGGTAGTGGAAGTAAATATAATATATTATATATTAAAATAGTTGTTAATGCAAAAGATCCATAACAATCTATTAATTATATGAAAGAATGTGGATGTTAACATTTTAAATGTTGAATACATAAAATCATATATGTTAATTATTATTATCTATTTCTCTAACATTATATCCCTTTTTTATTAGATAATTATATTTCTATTGATAATTACCAGTCTTTCTATCTTTAAAATGAATATAATGTTTATATCCATTCACTTCTATTATTGTATTTGATTTTGGTAAAAAGAAATCACAATGATATAATCCAACCTCATATTCTTTTAAATATTCTTCATTCAAATTCTTTTCGAATTCTTTCTACATAATAGATTCCTATAAAATATATTTATCTTTTTTATAATTGATTTCATGAGGTAACATGTATTATAAATAATAATACATTTTTCTATGTTTTATTACTTACTTTTTACAAAATTCAACAAGTCCATTATTCTCAGTCAAAGCCAAATATAATAAAAAATCAGGTACTAAATTTTAAGATGTTATTTTGCTTAATTATATTTTCATTGGTATTGCTTAACATAAATTATGTCTTGCAGCTATAGCTAATATAGATTATTGATAATTATTATCATTCTCTCTTATCTTAATTAATTGTTGAAGTGCTCTAGTTATTGTTAATGATGATCCCAATCGTTCTCTTTCCATATCCACAATTAATTTTTTCAATGAAAAATGGTCAATGGTCTTCGTCTCAGATACATATGCAAGTAATTCTTATTAGATCATTCATACTTTCATCAAATTCTAAACACAATCCTTTGTATTATCCGAAATGAATATAGGAATTTTAGATTTTAAATAGTAATGCACTTAAATTATTCATTATATTTAATATATAATTTATCATCATATAAACCATCATCTTGTAAACATAAATATTCCTACACCAATAGCCAATATCATAAGAATAACAAATATAACATTTGTACTTGAACCACTACCACTTACATTTGGTCTAACACCTATTAAATTATTATACATATTTATACCTGTTATTATACCAACTTATAATTTTTCTAATTACTTATAAGCACTTTGAGAATGATTTGCATCATGGAATGCAGCAGTTGCATCATCACCTGCTTTTCCCAATAAAATTGCTGGACCACCTGGATGATCATCTTAAAAATCTGTAACATCGTACACTTTCCCTTCTATAACCATCCATAAATCATCCTTCTTATTATGTTATCCTAATTCTTCCCATGTAATTTAACGATTTGGATTAACATTAGTCTAAGTGTTGATCATCAGATTTCTACTTTTTATTTTTTAGATTTCACAAGTTTTACGTAATCACTTGGTTATGGATCAGAAGTAAGTGTTCCAACTAATCTAGCATTTCTAAGGGAACGAGCATAATTTGAATGATTCACCTCTAGAAATTTTTAAGTACCATCCAATCCACCATATTTAAGAAGAATATCATCACCACCTGGATGTTCTGCCAAATATGTTGTTACATCAAACACCTATCCTTCTATCACAACCCAAAGTGATGTACGTAGACAATGATCAGCTAACTCATTCCATCCTACTATTCTTTTCTCATCGTTCATTTGTTAAAATATCTAATTAAATTTATCTCATTTTCTGAGAAATAAATAAATATTTATATCTTTACTATAAGATGTTAGTATAAATATTATTCATATTAAAATATATATTCAAATATCTATAATTATGATTATCCATAATGTTATTAATCAATCAAATTATAATTATAAACTTATCTCTAATTTTTTTATAGATATTTATATTTGAATAGGCTATTAAATGTGAAATTAAAAGTTTATTCTCCTTTATTATTAATCTTTTTTACTCTCAATTAAATTCTCTGAACTTACTTAAGGAGTATTTTAAATATTTTAATTGATAAGATCGATCTTAAAAAGTCAAAAAAATTTGGAAATTTCAAACCTTACCATTATTATTTTTAATAAAATTTATCATCTAAAAAAATTAAATTAAATAGACACAATTGATCAAGTATTTATTATGATCTTTGAAATTATTCTGATTGCATTCACCATACCAAAATAACATTTATTAAATTTTTTAAAATTTACTTTTTCATATTTGAATCCAATAATTTAAATACTTATTCTCTAAGAATATACCATTTTTAAATTAAATATCTTTATGATAAATTGTAAATTTGATCCAAAAACTATTCATAATTTAAAAAATCAATACAAGGATATTAGGATAATTATAAGATTCTCAATAATATGAAAAGAACTTCTGAATCTGAAATTTTTAAGTAAATTAATTTAAAGACTAGAAAGCTATGATTGGCATGTCTTATAATTATTTGGTGAGGATGTAAGTTTGAAAGTTATTATTAGGCTAAAATTATTTAGAAAACAATTCTAATTCGCTATTCATTTATTAATTAATCCATTTATAAGAAGTTTTTAATGGAGCAAAAGAATGACTTGATCATTTGAGATATGGTATGTAAACTAATTAATACTCTAATTGTTTTCTCTAATTTGAGAGGTAAATCATGTACGTCTTCAAAGATAAGGTGGCATTGTTGAATTTTTAAAAGAACTACTATATTCAAACACATCACTTACCAGATTATCAAAGATATCTTAATGTGCTCTAACTTGAAATATATTTTTTCTCAAATATTTGTAGGAGCAAACCTATTCAAATTGGTTTATTTATGTGTAGTTTTTTAATCAATAAAATCATAAATATAAGTAAGTTTGTTTGTCCTTATAACATGTACTTTCACATATTTTGTAATTGTAGTTATATTTTTTTCATATGGACTTGTGACATAGAGACGAAAGACTACTCTTAAAACTGCAAATCTTACTTAGTTTATATTAGTAGGTAAAAGCTGAGAGTAATTGAGATCAAATTTCAAGAATTTCATTTTCTTATTTTTTCTAATATTCCTTCAATATTCATATTATTAAATACTGAATAAATATATTTATAAGAAGAGTAGAGAATTAGATTATATTAGTAGTGTAGATAATTCTATAATATTATCATGTATATGTGTTAATTAATATTTATTTGAAAAAAATATATATACGAGGAGAATGAATTCGAAATACTTGATTACTAGTCTACACAGAAGTTTGTGTTATTTGACATATTGCTTGATTCAACTAATAATCTCTACTATGTTGCTGATTTATGTAAGATGTTGAATGACAAAATTAGGTCATTTTGGATAGACACAAGTACTCTTAACTTTGATATATCTAGAGTTTGGACAAACCTCCCGTTCTCATTTGTGAGGGACTGTTGACTTTCACAATTTGCACAGATCTAGCACTCAAAGTATTAATGGAAGGAAGAGTATTATAAATTATTATTTTATATTTTTACTCTAATTAAAGGAATTCTTCACAACAGCCTGGAATGTGTTAGACTTTTGTGCATTTTTGTCAATCATCTTGTGTATAAGATTGCAATATGAAGTATATTACGATGAGATTTTTGGGATATCACTTATTTCTATGCGTTACTTGTCATTAACAGTGAGAATGGTAGTCCTTCTTAAATAGTATATTTGTTTTAAATTATATAGGTCTTATTTTGTATAAATGATGTAATAACAAAGAGATATTTTAATTTTTAAAAGATCCAAAAATCAAGATCTTAGTATCTTGGATATAAGTTCTGAGATATTAAATGACTCATAATTTGTTGAAACTATGAAACTTGTTAGTGAATGATATTATAAATAATCAATTTTATTTCATTTTTAAATAAGATATTTAAAACAAATTTTCTTTTCTTCATCTCAAACATTAAAAAATATTAAATTAAAACTTAAATTCATAAGCCACTCAACATGCATCCACATTATTTTCCTTATAAATTCACTTAATACCATTACTAAACCCCTCCATACCTTTACCCACAATATTTACAACCACAATATTACAATTAAAATAATTTTCTACAATACAAACACCCTTAATTTCAATATGCACCTTTACCAACTCAATAATAGCAATATATTCTCATCTCAGATGATGAAGAATGTGTACCAATCCAAAAAATTGATAAACCCATTCCAACCTAAACCATTAATGCAACTCAAACCCAAAAAAAAACAGTCAAATTGCTAGACCTTGATACCCTTGAAGCATAAGGAAAGCTATATGATTATGAAAGTTCTCAATCCCCTCCATTACCTAAGCGAATCATTAAAAAACCACCAAAACCTATCTATAAACCTTAGAGAAGGAAATAAATCAAAATACGCAAAGAACCGATTAGACATACTCATTAAAAGATTAAACACGTGTAAATTGGAATTTAAAGATAATAGCTTAATTATTCTTAATCAAATGTAAAGGCAAAATTCATTAAAATTTATGAGAAACAAGAAGATAATTGTATAAATCATTTTAAATTTACATAGTTTCTAAATTATTTGATTAATTAAAACTTAATTTTTAAGAAGCTAATGATGAAGATATTGCAATTGTTCTTAATATGGTTGGTAAAGATTATTAAAAGGCTGAAACATTTATAAATTAAAACTCATTGTTTCTTCAATAATACCTTCAAAGTAATTAATAATATTAATCTAGATTATAAAGATTTATCCGAAGATGACTCTACTATCAAAAAATGAAAACAAAATCAATAATTATATATTCAAATTACCATATAATAAATTAATTTCATGAATTTCAAATGTATTGTACTCATTAGTACTAAAACTAATTGCAAATACGTTATTAAAATTAATCAAATCTCTAAATAACCTTTGAGTTCCATTTTCAAAAACCTCAATTTCTTTATATATTGTAATTATTTCATCTAACTTAAACAATGTTACATACTTAATTCTATTTTGAAAAATTTAACTGTTTTCACTTATCTAATACTAAAACAATAAAAATATGAATATTGAAATGTCTAATAAAAATTAATATTAATTTTTAAAAGCGAATATAACATTGTGTTTCTTTTATTCAATAAAATTATATATGGACTATACCTATTGAAATTATTTAATTTATTGTTAAACTACTGGAATAAAGAAAGACTAGACTAAATAATTTATTTTCATAAAACAATAAAATTTAAATGAAATACTAAAAAATATATATAGGAAGCTAAAGAAAAAACAATAAAAAATATTTAGTTAAAGAAATATATATTTTAATTGTATAAAGCTATTTAATAGAGGCTGACTGAGCTCGATAATGATTTAATTTAATTATTATTGAAATTTGATGAACTTTAATCATATTCTATAGAATAACAATTAAAAAATATATAAATAAATATACAGATAATATGAAAAGCATAAAGAAAATAGATTAACTTTTTAAACCTGACGTTTATATAGTTCAATTTAATTATAAATAATTATAAGGATTTATTATATAATCATAAGTAACAGAAAAACTGTTATAAATTAAACTTTAGTACATTTGAGATTATAAAATTAGAAAAAGTAATAATCAAAAATTGATAAATATATAGTTAGGTATGCACTATTTCTAGACAGAAAAGATTATAGTGTAATTACTAGAATGAATAAGTGTAAAAACATAATTAAGTGTTTGTAAAAGTAAATTGAATAATAACTTTTAGATTATTGATAATTTTAAAGGTAAGCAATAATAATAATAATGATATTTATCTCTTGAGTTGTAAAATATATATTTCAAGGGATAAATATTATTTAAAAAATTCAAATGATTTTCAATTATAATGTATTTCCAAAATCATGATTATATGTCAATAATTCATTAATACTGATATTATGCTCTTATAGATAATTAAAATATTTAGGATAATAAAATTAGAAATCTACCAAATTGATATATAAAAAATTGAAGACAAAGATTTGAATTAATAGTTTAAATATGTATTGATTCATTGTAATAGTCTCGATCTAATAGGTAAAACTAAAACCATATTTATAAATTTATTAAGAATAAATTATTACAAATGAATTCTAAAAATAGTATAAAATTCAGTTTAACTATAACGATATTCATCTTATTTCTCTAATAATTATTGAAATCTTTTTGAAATAATTGAATGAATAATTAATGTTGCTAAAATAAATTTAATAAGCAATAAAAGTATTCTGAATAAAAGTAGAAATGTTAAATCAAATAGATATTTTAAGTATAAAAATATTTATTAAAAATAGTTTATGTATTAAAATTCCTTTAATTTTTTTAAGCCTTCTTAGTTAATCTTACTGAGGTTTCCAATAGTGGAAATTAAAATTTAATAAATAAAAAAATGAGGGATTATAAAAATTATCTAAATATAAAATTAGTTATCATCTCTAAATTAGATTGGTGATTCCTCTCTACATCAGACATAAATCTAAAATTTATTTGTATTTTAATTATTCTGGAATTATTATGATCTAAGATAAAATAAAAGTCAAAGGTTGTTGGTACATTAATAGAAATTGGACAATTCAAAAACAAATTTTGGCAATATCTTTCATTATCTCATCCTTAATTTTAATAATTCTTTTAGTGATCATTTGGGTGAGTTAAAGTTAAATTTATAATAATCTAAAGGTTGTCTCTTAAGAAATCTTTATGAAATAAACTTCTTAATAAATCAATAATATTTGGATATACTAACGAAGCTTGGAATAAATGATGTTTTAGACTAAATAATAAATCAAAACAACAAGAGCTATTTACAAATAATTTGATTATCTAATAAATAATTCCAATAAGAGTGTTAAATTTGACTATCCTCACATGTGTTTAAACAACATTTCTGCTCTTGATTCCTACTGTTTTTCATCATCCACAACATGTGGTATATTTGGAAATCAAGAAGCTGAATAAGAAAATTAAGATACTTAAAGCATAATAGCAACAACTTTTATTTTAACATCATTTCGTATAGCTCTTGATCATACATTTAGTGCACCACTTTATTATTTTTTAGATAATTAAGTCTTATTCTTTTGTATCACAAATGGAGGCATATTTCCACAATCATTTAAACCTAATCAAAGACCATATTATTTAGATTTCTAAAAATCTATTAGTTAAGATACATCTGTAGATAGTGTGTACTTTGCTAATCCTTATTTGATTGTTGCTGGATATGTCAGAATTCCAATAATAACATCATTAGTGAATTTTTATGATTAAATTGTTGGAATGGTAGCTAAGGATATTGATTTTGGATATGCTTCAATAGGTTAAGGTAAAGACATTAATACAGTTTTATATGTTATTGATAATTAAGGCAAAATCTATTATTCCATTATTTATAATTAGATTAATCTAACAGTTTATTATTTTAATGAAACAAAAGTAACTGGATTTAATTAAACTGATTTTGAATAATTGATGAATTAACATAATAATATACCTTTTAAAAATGATTGTCCACTCATTTAGAGTGAAATCATTTTGTGTAGATTTAACTAAAAACTAAATAAAATCAGATAATAAAGTCTTCTTAAATAAAAGGTTCTAATTTAATTTTAGTAGTTTTGGTAGAAACAAATAATATAATCAATTAAATCGATGATAATTTATTTTTGATACAGCAATCTCAAATTTTAGTAACTAAATAACTAACTCTTTATCTAATTATATTTCCTATCGGAATAATATTTCTAAGTAATATTCTTATATACATGTTATTTCGATAATTTAATTAACTCCTTAATCTTATTAAATAAAAAGTATATTCAAATAGAAAAGACCTATTTCTTGCTGAATTTGATAAAGAATAACAATTTTTCCGTTCATGTTCTGTTACAAACTTAATTTAGGCATGCATCAAAAGATTCAATAACCTAGAATCTTTTGGTAAGTCAACTAATTGTTTAATACAAGAAAACATCAATTACCCTAAATATACTCATACTTAAATGAAATTTTAATAACACTTGGTTCTAATAATGAAATGGTAAAATCAAAAACTTAATAATAAGTAAGAACAAAAAAATACTTTTTTTAATAACATAAATAATTTTATAGGTAAACAAAAATTATGAATATATTTTTATAATCTGTTAACCATGATTTTTAAAATATTTACAATCAATATTTTATATTTTTATGATCAATTCTTTATATCTAACATTCATAAAATTATCTGATAATCTCCTTAATTAAATACTAAAATTCTTGTGTCAATATGAACTGTAAAATTAATTAAATTAAATCAAGAGATCTATTTCTTTAATAAAATTAATATTTGTTGAATTATGATTGTATAGATTACTTAAAATCACAACAAAATAATTTGGACTTAAATAATTATATTAAATATTAGATTCTATATGAATAAACATTTGTATGTTTTATTAGATTATTAATATAGAACTACCATTAGAAAATCAAAATTCATCATTTAATATTATATATTTCAATTTATAATTTCTCTTTATAAATTACATTTGAACATATTTTAGTGTAAATAAAATTTAACCAAATTTCAGTCCAAAAAATTGTAGTTTATAAACAACTAAAATACTCTTGTCATTATTAATAAAATCTTTAGAATGTTTACTAATCCTTTAAGTTAAATATTAGAATTAAAGAATAAGAATTATGATGTCTAATTAATAAAATCAATTATAATGAACTTAAATAATGTGAATCAAATAGAAATAATGGCTTTAATGGAGATAATTGAATAAATAAAATAGTGTTCAAATAATTATGGAAACAAAGAAGAGTTGTTGAATGAATTATAGGATTTTCTGTAAAGTTTATTAAAAACTGATCGTGCTGCTATTATTAACACCAATAATTTTTTAGAATATAAAACTAAATGTAATTCTAATCAAACTGGTGTTATAATACTAAATCATTAAGGATAATTTAGTATATTAATTTATTAATTTTAGTTCTATCTGATTAATTATCTAGAAATATTTTAGAAATAAATTCAAAGCAAGAACTAGAATAAAAGAATTTTTTCTCTCTTGTTAGTAAAGTTTCAGAAGGGAAACTAAAATAGATGGTCAAAAATACTTGTTTATTATCTAATGGAAAAGTTAAAGATTCTTTTGAGGTGACCATATATTCAGATAGAAACAGAAAGAAAAGTCTTAAATATTTAAAATAAATGGCAGAAGTGCGTTCAAAAAAAAAGATTAAAAAGAATATGACTGAAAGTATAAACAAAATTAATAGTTTAGAAGAAGTTAAAGTATTGGCAAAAGAATAAATTTTGATGTAAAAGTATTTAAAATCAATAAAAGTAACAATTTTAAAGGTTACTATTTTAATACATAAAGAATTCATAGATTCATTTTAAGATTCAGATGATATTATTTTAAGTAACTTAAATACTTTAGCTTAAACAGCTATTAATTAGTTAGCAATTTGTGAAGTAAGAGAATTAGATGAACATATAAAATTAACACTTTAAGAACTATTATAAGATCCTTATATCTCAAAACATGAAAGTATTCAATATCATTAATTTTAGTTAAATGGAACAAAAAAGTAAAAAATATTAAGGGTCAGATCTCGGATGATGAAGAAGAACTATGAATTATTATATTTATATAATATATTAATGAAAAGATTAAACACATTATATATTAAGAGATTTGTATTAAAATTGAAATTAATTGTCTTGAATTATTTTTATAAGTTAAAATAAAAAAAATAATTAAAAAATGGGAACAATGGGGATCGAACCCATGACATTAAGATCTTCAGTCTTACGCTCTCCCAACTGAGCTATACTCCCAAAGTTAATATAAACCTTATTGATTGGTTAATGAAATAGCTGTCAAGATAATTGGTAAAAATACTTTAATCTGTACTTAAATAAAAATGAGAAAATTCTTGTCAAATAATTAGATTGTTTATCTTGTCTGTATAATGGTTTATTCTTTGGAGGTTAATTTAAAATTAAATCTTGTGAATATTTTCAAATCGAAAATACTAAAATTCACTATATATTATCAATATCAAATATTTTAATAATTGAGAAATGAATCAACAAGTTTGGATTAGCATACCTAAAAGTATAAATAATACACACAATAATGAACTAATGAAGTGTATTTTATGTAAGAAAAATGGTAAATAAAGAGTGTTATATTGTTTTGATAAATTTATATTGTATGGAAAGGTTTATATCATTATTTTAATTAAGGTAGGAGATATTGCAACAAAATATCTCAAACTAGACTTTGATACAAAATTTGAAATACTTTACTAATAAAGTAATAGAAATGGAGAGAAAGATGATTGTTTAGATCAAATAATTGGTATATAATTTCATTTTGATTATGGAAATGGAATGATTAGTTCATAATTAGGAGGAAATGAAAATTAAATCAAGGAATTAAGAAATTTTTTGAGATCAAGGATAAATTAATACAAATTTCATCAATATTTCAGAGTTTTTAAAAAAATTGGAAAAGGAAATTTTGCAACAGTATAAACGATTAATAAACAAAGGTGTATTTTACAGAAAAAATTGAAGATGGACAATAGTTCGCAGTCAAAGCATTTTCAAAATAAGTAGCTTATAATGAAGAGAATGGAAAGGAATCAATAATAAATGAAATATAAATTATGAGGGAATTAAATAATTAACATTTAATGAAATTATATGAAGTCTATGAAACTGAAAATTCCCTATATATGGTATTGGAATTACTTTCTGGAGGTTCATTACATGATTTGATAAGAGAGAAAAAGGGATTAAAATTAAAAGAAGTTCAATAATTATTTGCAGGTATATTATTAGGATTAGAAGAAATGCACTAAAAGGATATTATGCATAGAGATTTAAAATTAGAAAATATTCTATTCAAATAAAAAAAGTAAATTATAAAATTAATATAAGTTAATTATAATCAGTTGTTATAGCAGACTTTGGGTTAGCTACTCATGTTAATGATGCTAAATATTTATATTATAGATGTGGAACACCTGGATATGTGGCTCCAGAAGTAATCAATCAGAAAGATGCAAAGCAAAAATATTCATCTGTATGTGATATATATAGTTTGGGTCTAATATTGTATATTTTGTTATCTGGAAGACCTGCTTTTCTTGCTAAAACATATAGAATGATAGTAAAATAAAATAGAGAAGCAGCTGTTGATTTTTCAATTAAGTAATTAAAAAATCTACCTGATGATGCTATGGATTTATTGAAAAAAATGTTAAACAAGGATCCTAAATAAAGAATTGATGTAGTAAATTGTTTGAAGCATTCTTTCATAAACGATATAGCCAAGTAAATATAAGAGACAGAAATCAATGAAGATAGTGATAATGATTTAGGTTAAATTGATGAGGATATTGATGTTGGAAAAAGGATAAATAAATTAAATTAACAGTATGAACTAAAATTATGGTAGATATTTTGTATTTGAAGCCAGTAGACACTTAAATTCACCAAATTCATCCTCAGATGACTCACCAGGAATTATTTTGAAAAAAACAACAAAAAAATAAAAGGAGATTGATTCATCTATGTTATTATCTGGCTAATCTCCTTTATTTAAAGCAAGAATTGATTCAATTGGAAGTGTTCAGTCTCTTGATATGTTGTCACCATAATTGACTTAACAATAATCACCTGCAATTAAATAATCAAAATTTGCTTAGAATAAATAAAAAGGTAATTAATCAATTCTCAAATATATCACAAATAATTGATTTTAATGTGTTAGTGAATTATATTTTATTATTTTTCATATTAAAATTAGTATGAATATCTTTAAATATATAATACATACGTCATTTAAATAACTTTTTCTTTGTTAAATAAGCTAATTCTTTGATTGAAATTCAGTATCATTTTAAATAATTAAATAATTTAAAAATGTAAAATCAAATCGTTCATGAAAGTATTTCAGAAATGAAGAAATACGCAAAAGCGTTACAAGGAAACAAAAATTATGTTGCTAAAAAGACTGCAGATGACCCAGATTACTTTAGAAAACTTGCTCAAGGATAAAATCCAAAATATTTATTGATTGGTTGTTCAGATTCCAGAGCTCCACCTAATGAAATTACAGAAACTGATCCTGGAGAAATTTTTATTCATCGTAATATTGCTAATGTAGTTGTTCCAACAGATTTAAACGTATTTATTTTTAAGAATTCATTTAGATAAATTGTGTAATCCAATATGCCATTGAACATTTAAAAGTTCATAATATTGTAATTATGGGACATACCTTTTGTGGAGGTGTTAAAGCTGCTATGAAATAAGATTCTGTTGGAGGATTATTAGATTTATGGTTGAATAACCTGAAATTGGTTTATGAAAAACATTAGGATCTGATCAATTAATTAGAGGATGAAGATGATAGAGTTGCTTGTCTATCTCATATGAATGTGAGAGAATAAGTACTCAATGTGTGGAAAAACCCTATTGTCTAAAAATCCTGGCAAGATGGACATCGTATCAATATTTAAATTATCATTTTTTTAGCTGTTATGGTTCATGGATGGTTATTTAGAGTAGAAACAGGCTTTATTGAAGAATTAGAAATTGAAGAAACCATCCCAAATAATCTATCGAAGGTCTTTTAATTGAAATTCAAAAATGTTTAACCACCAAAAGCTAAATAATAAATAGAAGAAAATGAAGACGACAGATCTAAATCTCCTTCAATAAGAAAGAGATATCAAAGGATGCAAAGTAGATTAGAAACTGAAATAAAAAAATTGGCAATTACACTTTAAGATGCTAATTAAGATGTTGAAAAGGATGTAGTTGACTAAGTTTCAGAAGTATTATAAAAGGATCTTGATTTCAAGACTGAAGATCACTGAGTTATTTAATAATATAGATCATACACGTTATTTTTATTATTTATTTAAATAATTAATCTCATTAAATTAATAAAAGAGTATATATAAATATATATATATATATAAATGCTTTTACTAAAACAAATTTTTATTAATTATGATTGAGAAATAACTATAAGTATATCTCAATAAGACATTTATAATACTAAATTTAGTAAAGTAATTATTTTAAATATTAACTAATGTAGTTTATAAGGAATAATAATTTATTTGATTTTCTTATTTATTAAATAAGTTGTTATATTTTAATGAAAATTAATATAAATAGAACAATTTTTATTAAAATATTGTGCTATAAACTTATTAAATATATGTTATATAAATATCTAGATTTAGTGATAGCTCAATTAAATAAACATTAAAAAATTAGATAAATTTTATTTATATTCCACACTTCATATTAACAGAAACTCAACATTATTTAATATATATATTAAAATATTAAATTTCAAAGTTATCAGATATTTTAAATTACATTGATATAAAAAGATTCATAAATCTAAACGTTTACCAATTTTTTCTAAAAGTTATGCTTCTGTTAATGTTTATAATTCTTCATAAAACGAATTAAAATCCATATTTATGTCTTTGAATTCTAAATATGGATTTAAACAAATAACTAAAAACCATCCTAATTACAATAAATCTTTATAAACAGAATCAGTTTCTTTAGTTTGTTTAATGATAGATTTAATAATTTCTAAACATTCTTACACTACTTATTAATATAATTATTAAAAGGAAGAATTTTAATCAAAATTAACATCTAAAACTTACTTAATTTTTGATGCTCTTTTATTATCTGGTTATGCTAATTCTTTTTCAATAATTTATTTTTCTTTCTTGTAAATTTCTAAATAAAAGTCTTCTGTATGTTTTATATCATTTTTAGTAACAGTCAATATTTTTTTATATTCTTAACTGATTAAATATCTGCCCCATGTTTCTCTATCAAATTTTTCTGGATTCTTGGACATTAATTAATCAGACATTCTTTTTAGATGAACATTTTGATTTTTGGATATACAAAATATTGTTGTATAATAGAGTTCTTAATTTAATTTCAAAATTCCTAAGTGTGACATCTTAATTATTTTTTGGATAACATAATTAAAAAAGAATGCAATATTTCTTTCAAATAGAAAGTATGTATTGTATTTCAACATAGCTTTACGTCTTTTTTGTTCAGTATCATATTGATTTATTAGTTGTAATCCCTAATATAACAAGATTGAATACTTTTTCATGATTAATATCATCAATAGATTACTTTTCTTCGTTACTCTAAGTAGTTTAAGGAGTGGAAAGTTCTTAAACAATCTGATCAGGCTAATCAAGATATCCAACAACTAAATTCATTTCCATATATAATTTATTCAAACTTTCTGATCGAGATAATTCATCTTTTTCTTTCATCAATTATTCTAAGTTATTTTTTATTTATGCCTCTTGGATCTGAATGATTTCATGATGAAATATTTATTCCCATGAATACCTATCCTATTAACAGTTGATAATTATTATACTTTTTCTTAAACAACAAGCATATGTCTTAATAATTGCTTTATTTTATCACTTCTAACTGGAGCATCTGGTATTATTAAGGCAGTTTTCTTAATATTCTATAACAGATTATATTAGTTATCACCATCCCAAGGTGGTTTTCCATATAACATCTCAAACAACATAATTCCCATAGACCAAACATCACATTTTGATGAAAATGGCTAACCTTCAAGTATTTGTGGGGCCATATAAAGAGGTGATCCAACTCTTGAAAAATAAGCAGGATCTATTTTATATGGATTTATGTATTACCGTTCATTCCAGTATCTATGACTCTAGCAAAGCCAAAATCAGTTATTTTAGCAACTCCTTTATGCAATAATATATTGGCTGGTTTTATATCTCTATGTATAATTTTCAATTAGTGAAGTGTACGAAATCCTTCAACTAGATGTTTCAAAAAAATTACTGCTTCAACCTATACAATTAGAAAGAGAAATACTTCACTGAGCCTTCTCCCATATTTAGTTGATAAATACTTTTTTAAGTCTCCATCATGACAGTACTCTAAGAATAGATACAAATAATGTGGTGTCCGAGCAACATCATATAATTTCACAATGTGTGGATTATTAGCTTATTATAAGATTGAAATTTCTCTTTTGATATGTTCCACCATCTTGGCAGAATCCTTGATACTCTAGACCTCAATTTATTTATTATTACAGCTATAGAAATTGCCTTAACTGCAACTTGCTTTGTTTCATCATTTTTTTTAAAACCTCTATATACAGTACCAAAAGCACCACTTCCTAGTTTTGTATTGACTATGATGTATTTGTCAATTTATTTGGTAGACCATTCTTCAGACATTTCTTTGAATATTTATAATATTTCTCTGTTTTTAAAATTTATACATTTTTTTAATAAGACTTGTGGATTGTAATTTGAATCCTACAGAACATTATTAAATAAATTAATGTATTTATTATACTGTATTGACATTAATCTACTCAATCATCAGATCATTCTTTTTGCTAGATCATTGATAAGATCTTCTCTATTTCCCCAATCTCCTTGATTAATAAATGATTTTCTTTTAGCAATGAATCCTCCTCTTGGTCCTCTTAATTTGAATGCCCTATTTTATTTTAATTACATTATCTTACCACAAAAATCTGTTTGCTTCCTTGAAATGTGGTCCCACTGTAGTAATTTCATGGATAAGATCTTCGATTCCATGAATACCAAATTTTCCGAGTTATTAATCAATAATAGTATTTGATGTCAATGGAATTCTTTGACCATTGACCTTAGCATATCCTCTCTTGTAAATCAAGTTCTTAATCACTGTTCTTGATGGATATCCGTATGTGATATAAGGTTCTACTTTTCTGATCATTTCAATTGTTGCTTTGTTGATTCTAACAAATGCTGCATTATGTAATTGTCTCAATTTCAAAAGTCTAAGAGTTTGTCTCACCTATGGATTCAACGTGTTGATACTAACTTAATTCTAAAATATATACCCTCTGATTCTAATAATAAGCATTAACTTAGCTTCAGCTGGAACATAGAATCCACCTTCACTTTTTGCCTTACGAATGTTATCAATTAAACTCTTTTCACTTGTCTTGTATTCTGCTTCATAAGCTTAAGCATTCTTTTCCAATTATGCTCTTCTAGCTTTGTTTTACCCTAATCTTTCTGCTCTTCTTTTAACAACAAGGTCTCTTAATTTTGAATCTCTTTATGTTTTCTTCACGACACTCTCTGGTACTTTTTATCTACAAATTATTAGAATTGCATACTCCACTTAAATTTAAGCCTTCTTTTACGACATTTTAAAGAATATTTAAAATCTTTAATTTTAAAATCAAAATCACCTTTAATTTGTGACAATTAATATTCTATATATAGACTTCTTTTCACAATAAATGAAAAAAAAAGATGAAGTGAAATTTATAAATAGATTTATTTGTATTCCTCAGCATCTCTTATTCTATGAAATTCTAAAAATATTTATCCAAATCTAACAATCATTGTTAATATATTTAGAATAATTATTATAACGAAACATAGACAATTTCAGATATGCAATTCAGGATCCAAATAATAAAATAAGAATATGATCTAAATTTTTCAGGAAAACTAATGGGAAAACGTATAAAAACTATTTTTTTAGATAAATTACATTAAATGTTAGAAATGTTTTTGTATAAATAAAAAAATAGAGACATTTATTCTATTTTATAAATTAATTTTCATAAACACTTTTTTAATAGATTGTTGGTTAAGGAAATATGTGTTATTTTATTTCTAATAAGTCAGAAAAGGAATCAAATTCTTTGTTACTAAAACCTTTTTACAATTTAATTAAGTAATAAAACTTTTACTCTTATTTTCTTAATCTACTATTTAAATTTTAATTCTAGAATATTAATAAGAGAATTAAGGAATTTCAATGTTTTAATTGATGGCTTCTATCATCTTCTTTTAATAAAAGAGTAAAAAAGAAATTTTTGATACTTATCTTCAAAAACCATTGAATTTTCACTTTTTTTTATCGAAAACTCTATTAAAGAAATAAGGTTTTAAGGATTCATGTAAATTTTTCAGTAGGAGAATCAGAAAATTCTTCTAATAAAGAGCAGTAATGATTCTATAAAAATAATCATTTGCTAATTTGGAAAATTTCTATGTCTTGAGATGCATTTAGTTTTAAGCAAGTTTTTTAATAATTAAAATAATTTATGAATTAATTTATTTAATTATCAAAAAAGAATAAATTTTATTTAATTACTCTATTAACTTCATTCTTTAAATTAAGCAAGGATTATTCATAACATGTTTTTATTATAGAAAAATATAACTGCCATTTGATAAATGTTTAAATTTATATTTCTTTTCCTGTTAACTGACTCATTATTACAAATATAGTAAATTAAGTTTGGATAAAAAAAAGTTAAATTTTGATTTAGTTTTATATAAAAATTTTGAATACAAATTAAAATGGGATGTGCAACAAACAAGGGATAGGACATAAAGCAATTTAATATTAAATTACCAGATTCACGTACTTTAGTAAAATATTTAAGATAATCTTACTACAAATTAAACCGAAGCTGATCTGCCAAATTCTTAAGAGCAATTCCTATAAATTGGGATGAATAGGTGTGGTTTAGGCGATTTTCTTCCTAAAGTCTAGGAAGTATATAATGAACTTGGAGAATTATATAAAAATATTTAAGGCCAGTATTTGCTTATGCCGGACCAAAGTATATATTTTGGGTCTGTGGTTAATGGTAAAAGAGAAGGTGTTGGAAAACAGCATTGGCCAAAAGAAGGGAACTTATTAGAAGGGTATTGTATTTAAATCATTCTTAAGAACTTGGATTGACAATTAATTAAATGGAAGGGCTCGTATGATATATCCAAATGGAGATTAGTAAAAATAAAATCAAATAATAGTTTTATTGGTAATTTTCGAAATAATATTGCAAGTGGAATGGGATTATTTGTGACTTCTAAAAAATAAGTGTAGGGATTTTGGCTTAATAATAAATTAACTGGAGAGGGTACTGAAATTAGAAAAAATGGAACTATATATAAAGGACAATTTAATGAAGGTAAAATCTAAGGTTAAGGACAATTTGAATATGCAAATAAGTGCATATATAAAGGTAGCGTAGTTAAAGGAAAGATGCATGGAAAAGGTGAGTTAATATTTAATGATAATACAAGATACATAGGGGAATTTAAGGCTAATTCCATTTAAGGTAGAGGTAACTATCAGGCTAGTATTTAAGTGGCAGGCTGGGTAATTCATTTTATTATTATTATAGTTTCATTCTAAATTTGATAATAAAACCCTATATATCTATTTTTTTCGATCCGAAACACGAATACTTGATGAAAGTTAACATTGTACTCTAATCGAAAAAAAACTAGAACAATTTTTTGATTGATCTAATTAATATTTCTTATTAAATAATTATTATCATAAATGAATAAAATTCTATTATCATAATTTTATAATAAAAACTGAAAATTATGTATGGATACAATTATTTAAGAAGACAACATTTTTTGAATTCTTCATTAAATTTAATATTATCAAGATTAAATTTATAAAAAGGAGAAATAAAAATTTTATTAAATATAATTTATAACATTCCTGAAGTCTATTGAGATGTTTTAAAAATATATAGATAATGGTAGAATATACTTAAGAAAAAAAGTAAAATTTAGATTGAAATTATAATAAACTCCAAGAATAAAACCATTTTTATCAATGAGAATAATATATTTTTAGGATAGGAAATATTATATATTATCTTAATTTTATTCATGAAATAATAAACATATTAAAGTAATGTGTTATAATTAGCTGCATAAAGTTCTGAAAGAATAAAGAAATACATCAATTCTAATCATAATTCAAGCTTTGTCAAAAGTATCAAATTTTATAAAAATAAGGTATTAGAAGTGGAAGCATTCCATTATTAAATCCCGAATAACATGAATTTGTTAATCGAACGCATGATCCAAATCCTCCAATTTATAATAAAAGATATCAACCTGCTAAAATAAGAGCTTAGGAGGCTTAAGATGAATTTAATAATAGTCATCTGAAGGCTGGTCCATATTATAATTTACCAAAAAACATGAGAAATGAAATATTGGCTGCTGAAAAGATGCCCATGAGATATGGTAAAAATCCAAGAACAGAAAATGAAAGACTTTAAGAAAAACTTGAAAATTCTTCAATTATTGATCATTCATACAGAAATGTAACAATGATCTAGAGACCTAATTGGAAAGTTACTATGAAGGAGAAGTGGATGAGCCAGGATACGTTTAAGTCATAATCTGCAAATTTTAATTCAAAATAAGCTTGGAGTTAGATACCTTATCGCAATCCAGAGGATAATTATATATATCTTGAATCAGAGAATTCTCAAATTGAATTTAAAAGGTTACGTCAGGAAGTATTAGAAAAATAAGGAAAGTTACCATTTAATCCTGTAATAAAGAAAAATCCTTACACAACATATTCAACAAGCATACGTACATTTAAATAAGATGAAGCATTTGGTATATAAGAAAAAACTATGTTCTCGAAAAATACTTAATTAAAACATTATAAAAGCGCTCTTATTTCCACAAAATCAGTAGATCATATAATGCCATATAATCATAGTAATAATATTTAAGCTATTAAAAACATTTTTCCAAATGCTGAAAAATAATATATTAAATCATCAGAATAACTTGGAGGAGATTTAAATTAGAAACTGTAAATTTAGTAGAAAGATGAATTTCCAAAACTTCATTTTGATTAACAATCGCCAATTCACGAATATCCATAACCAGAAGATTTTAATAATACAAATTTCGAAAAAACCAATTTTCCTGTAAAAAAAGTACATAAACCATTCAAACCTTATTCTGAAGACGAAGCCAAATAGATAGTAAATAAATATTTTTGCAAATAATCTTTTTGAATATTATGATTATAATGATGTTATTATAAACTATAAATAAACATAAATCTATGAATTCCTTCAATTTTTATTAGAGATATCAAATCATTTCTCATAAATAAAAAATAAATAGTTCTCTGATTCCACATCAACAGATTTATTAAAAGCTATTTTTTATAAGTAGTTAGAAAAGTAAAAACTATAAAAATGACTGATTGATATTTAGATTTGAATTATGACTTTAATTTTAATTGCTATTTAGTTTTATAAAATTAAACTATTTAAAAAATAGGGGTCTAGCATATTAAACTAGTAATTTACCTTTGAATACGTAATAAAAAAAGTAAAATGATAAAAAAATTTCATTTGATTTTGTTTATTGCGATTATTTATAGTCATTACATTTAGTAGAATTATAAAATAAGAGAAAAAAAAATGTGATAATATTGTTTTAAGTGATATGGAAAATTTGAAGACCAGAACATATAAGTTAATTGTCAACGTTTCATTTACCTCTAATTAAGATTATATTAGTAATTGGATGAAAACTTTGGACTTTGCTATATTTATTACAAAAATATTTGCTTTAGAGATGTTGACAACTAATTAAAAAATAATAAGAATCAAATAAAACAAAATCATAATAGCTAAAAAATCAATCTTTAATACTTTTCAATTGAAATAATTTTAGATTATTAATTAAATGATGACTTTTTCTTTAAAGAATGAAGAAGGTAAAAATGTATATAATTTCAGTATTTCCTTCATTATTACAATAATAATCTTTCTCTGAATTTAGAAATTAAATGTATCTCCAATATGCAATTCATTATGGAGTAGGTTATAAATTAGGCAAATTTAAAATCAAATTGAAGATGAGAGTAAATATAATGTTAAGGCTTGAAAAATTTAAATAGATATTAGTTAGTGAAACTAAGATGATATAAGAATTAACATGAAACAAAATATATCATATATTGAATTTAATGAATTCTTGATTTAGTGACATTTTATTTTTTTCCAAGTAACTGTAACTATTTAATTTAACAGTATCGTAAATCGATCAACACAAAAATTTATTGTATTTAGAAAAAAGTTTTATAAAACATTAAATATATATCAATATGCCTTTCATAAAAGACATTATTTATTTACGATTAATGTAAAGAGGGAAATAAAATTATTATTAATTGTTTCTTAAATTTTTATACAAAAGCTCTAATATAAATAGTGATTGAAAGTTTTTGTTTCAATCTTAGTTAAAAGTAATGATTGAAATTTTTTGTTTCAATCTTAGTTTAAAGTAGTGATAGAAAATTCTTACTTTTTTTATGTTGAATCGGCCCGTACTAACTATAAAAAAAATTTTAATTATTAATTAATTTGTTTTTCTATCATTTAAGAGAAACATTTTATAACTAAATTATAATTGAAAATCTATAATAATACTTAAATTAATAGAAATGGGAAATACTTGTTCAAGCTGTCAAAACAATAAAAAGAAGATTAGGTAAAGAAGTTTTATTAATAATTGGATTAGGCCTCAATAATAAGAGCCATCAAGTTTCAAGAAACTCAAGTACAATACAATTTAAAAATATGAAACGTTCACTTAATTATAATAGAATCAATACTTAAAATGGTTAGGGGTTTATGATTAGAATAACTAGAAGATTGGAAATTGGACAGCTGCATGGAATGGAGTGATGTTAGAAAATGTTGGTGGATAGTACACTGAGGATGGAAAAAAAAAAGGTTTATGGAAAGAATTAATACAGATGTATGGAAAGTATATATGAATAAGTAAAATTTAATTAGAAATGCTTAAGTATTTATAATTGGAGAATACTGTAATAATATAAAAAGTGGGAAATGGATGTATACCTATGATTAAAATCAGATGTTTTATTATTTAAATATTAATTAGTGGAGGTGGTTCATATAATAAATAAGGAGCGAAGAATGGTAAATGGATTGACTTAAGCGATTATTTTTCTGAAGATTCACAAATTACATACAATGGCGATTATAAAAATGGTAAAAAAGTTGGTAGATGGGATATTTTGTTTAGAGGGAGTGATTAATTTGAAAAAATGTAAACAATATTATCTAATTTAATATACTTTTAGTGGTGGAGGATCATATAATGAAGATGAGATTAAATCTGGTAGATGGGTTGAGGAGAGTAAAGGGTTTCAATAAGAATCTTAAATAATTTATATTGGCGAATATACTAATGGCAAGAAGATTGGTAGATGGAATGTTTTATATAGAAAATAATATGAGAATGAATTTAAATAGATGTAAGATAATTAATTTAGTTAATTTTTTTTTTAGTGGAGGAGGATCATATGATGAAGGAGGGGCTGAGACCAAAATAGGTTGTTGGATGGAGGTGATAGATGGATTTGACAAATATTCTTAATTCACTTAATAAGGGGAATATAAGTATGGAAAAAAAGTTGGTTCATGGGATATTTGGTATAAAAAACCATATTCGTATGATAAGAATGAGTGGATGTAATAATATTTTATTTAAAGTTCTAATCTGTCATAGTGGTGGAGGGTCATATAATGAAAGTGAAGGGATTAAGTTCGGTAATTGGGTAGAAGTGTTTTAAGGATTTAATTTTTATTCATAAATTACTTACAATGGAGAATATACTAATGGTAAGAAGGTTGGCAGATGGAATGTGTTGTATAGAAAATAATATGAGAATGAATTTAATTAGATGTAAGATAATTAATATAGTTAAATGTTTTAGTGGAGGAGGATCATATAACAATATAGGAGACGAGAATAAATTTGGTAATTGGGTTGAAGTATCTGATGGATTTAATTTTGATTCTTAAATAACTTATAGTGGTGAATACATTAATAATAAAAAAGTTGGTAGATGGGATATTTTGTTTAGAAGAAGTAATTAATTTGAAAAAATGTAAACAATATTATTTAATTTAATATAATTTTAGTGGTGGAGGATCATATAATGAAGATGAGATTAAGTCTGGTAGATGGGTTGAGGAGAATGAAGGGTTTAAATAAGATTCTTAAATAATTTATATTGGTGAATATAAAAATGGCAAGAAGATTGGTGGATGGAATGTATTATATAGAAAATAATATGAGAATGAATTTAAATAGATGTAAGATAATTAATTTAGTTAATTTTTTTTTTTAGTGGAGGAGGATCATATGATGAAGAAGGGGCTGAGACCAAAATAGGTTGTTGGACAGAGCAGAATGAAAATTTTAAATTGGATTATTAAGTAATTCATACTGGTGAATATCAAAACGGGAGAAAAGTTGGAAAATGGGATTTTTTGTATAGAAAATAATAAGAAAATGAATTTAAATAGATGTAAGAGAAATAATTGTTAACTTGTTTTAGTGGTGGGGGATCGTATGATGAAGAATTAAAGTAGGGTTAATGGATTGAGCTGTCAGAAGAATTTTCCCCTTCTTCTTGTATAATTTATAGAGGTGAATATAAATGCGGAATCAAAGTTGGTACTTGGGCTGAAATTGATATTTAGAAGTATGAAAAGGGTGGTTGAATAACTATTTCTGTTCTTAATATTTAAATGTTTTTATATTTTTAGTGTGGGCTAAAGTTGGCTTTATGTTTTTTTTTTTTGATTGAAAGACAGGCTTGAGGACTGCTAAATTATCAAGTTTACTAAAAGTCTGTATAAATCCAATACTTGGGTTGATTCCCAGTTTGAGAAACATATCCTAATATATTTTCTTAAATGAGTTTATGCTTTAGAAAATTAATCTCCAATCAATTTTCATTCATCCTAGAGTTGAAAAGATGTAGTTTTTAAAATACTCCTTTTTAACAATAACTCCCCTTATTTCTACAATATTTGGCTAATCAAAATCCAGACATCATAATCAGTAGAATATCTAATTTTAATTATAATTCATATGAAATTAATAAATTAATGAATTATGAGAAGAAATATATAGAAATTATATTTATTTATATATGTTTAAGTCAAGTGAACCGATCAATCAGAGAATCAATTCTTACTTACATTCTCCCAAATTAGCAAGCCTTAGAATAAAATTAAGCGAAAAGAATAAACAAAAACCTAATTAATGGTGAATGGATGAAAAGATACACAAACTTGCTATTTATTAACTTCTCTCTTTCCCTTCATATCTAGTATTTATTTTATCTAACAATAATGAGATATCTTTGATTTAATATTTTAAAATTAATTAAATATTTTTGATTCATTTAAATATTTGTAAAGCTAATAATTTATTTTAATTAAAATACTCTATATCTAAAGGGAGTGATGGATAATCAAAAGAAACTACAGTTTCTTAAATAAAATAACTAAGAGCAAATAAGATCAATGTGGTAATAGTATTTAAAGGTAAATCTAATAAAAAAGTCAATATTAGAAAGGTCATTAAAAGCAAAATAATTTTCATTTAAAATATTATTCATTTTATTCCAAATCAGTTTTATTTTGTTATTGAGTATCTAAAATAAAATTTTTGAACTTTTTTGATCAAATTTACTTGATAGGTTATATCGATTCAATGTTAAAATAATTAGATTGTTTAAAGGAATTAATATAGCCACTTTTTAATAAAAAAAAGGATTTTTTTTAGAAGATGATAAAATTTTGTATTGATTAGATTGATATTTAATTGAGCTTTATTATTGTGTATTAAATATATTAGCATAAAAAAAATTAAAATATAATGGCCAAAATATATAGTCCTAAAAATTTAAAAAGGGGAGAAATTAGGTAGCCCAGCAAACCGGCTACCAATTATAAACCTCCCCAAAAGAGTAGGGCTGTTTCAGAGTACTATATGAGGACCATTTACGAGAGAACCCTTCTGATAAATTCTTGCTCATGCTGTACCTCGGAAAGATGAAAACTAATAACCCCAATGAAGACAGAGAAAGCATAATTAGAAGGATGACAGAATGCTGGATGGATGGATAAAAGAAATATGGATCTAGAAAGTACCTGGAAGAACTGATAAATTAGTA